TATATTAATACTCAAGCAAGATACAAACCGAGTATTGCATACTGTTCCAAGGCCAATGGAGTACAAATGTTCAGGGGCGAAACCAGGAAATTAATTGACAGGGGGCAAAAAGACATCGCAAAAAATTTGGGGGTGCAAAACATAATTTAAGAGGGGGCAAATTAATTTTTTTTAATTATAATAGTAAAAAAATTTAAAGAAAATTAGATTTTTTAATTATAATAGTAAAAAAATTTAAAATTTGAGGGGGGGCAATTGCCCCCTAATATATAGGTAGTTTTGCCCCTGCAAATGTTCAACCCTTACAATAAGCCTACACATAGGCGAACAACAATCAATAAAAATAAAACTAGGAAAACAGAAAACAAAAAACAGAGTTAATCTACATCAGAAGGGACAGAATAAATAACCCTCTCAGCCATGGACATCAAACTCCAACATCTGCAGCAAGGACAGCATTATCAGTATGGAATCCCACCTTCTTGTTTAATTTGTCCACTATGCTCTTGTTGTACAATCTGCAGCTTAGATTCTTCCATCCTTCATTGACTCCTTTACCCAAAGCCCATCTAACTGCCTCTAACCACATAGCCTCTTGAGTCCCTGAATGCCACAGCCGATCTGAGTAGTGTTGAAGAACATCTTTTGAATGCCACCCCTAGGTTAGAGTAACGGTTTTTAGTTATGAAATAGCTTACTTACAAATAAGGATTTAAACTTGAAATAGTTATGAAATGCCACCACTACAAGAAAATGCCTGAAATGCTTCCCCCAGGTTTCGAACTCATCACACGGAGCTTGCAAGTGAGCTTTTGAAGTCGCCCATCCCACCACTGCGCTACGCCTCGGGGGGCTATCAATTTACTTTATTGTTTCTTGTTCACACTGCAGAAGGATCGACAATATTCAATTATTCAATGGTAAAAGTTATTTTTAGAAGATCGGCACTCTGGCCTAAATGTATATCGTCCAAGGGACCTGTAGGGGAAAACAATTCTGGTCATGTGCTATCCTATAAGAAAGGGGTGTCTTCATGGGCTGTTCTTTTCTGTAGTTCAGGCCTAGCTCACAATAAGCCTAATTATTGTACTCCTTGGTTTGATGGGCACGTCCAAAGCATATGTGATTTTTTATGTACAACAAGGAGGCCCCTAGGTTTTTAGGTGTATAGGGGATTGACTAGTCGCTATACGCCTGGGAAGCTGCTTAGTAATGTCGAACCGTGTGTCGATCTCTTTACGTGGTCGTCAACTCTTTGAAAAGGATGGTGTCAGTTACACTAGCAACATGGTAAGGCATCTTTTCGAAGAGAACATTAAATGAGGAGGGATAGAGATTGCTTTCAGAGAAAGCTGCGTCTTTTCGAACATGAAAGGACAATCGTTGATTCACGACTCCTGACGTAAATGGATGTGGTATTAATGCGACCGGGTGTAATGATTGGAGTGCAGTGTACCCCTATAAATAGAAGGTTGTGAAGTTTTGAAATCATTCACTTTTCCTTTAAAATTAAATTTGAATTTCTTGTCCTCAAATTCTATCTTTCCCAAAATCGGATTTCATCGCCTGGTGGGATTGTATATTGCGCAATTCTTCGAGCAGGTATTTTTTGAACTTCTATCATTAAATCAATATGTCGGATAGTAGTCTGCGACATGGACTTGGTGAATGTTGAATAGGCGGGCGATCGGGCAACTCAGGTGAGGGAGTTGATCTCTTATATAAGTGACGTTCGAGACATGAAAACGCAAATGGAGAAAGACATAGCGGGTCCGAAGCCGTACTGTTATTGGAGGCAACAGTCGGTAGAAGAAACATTTGATCCCAGTGAGATGGATATTTTTCAACTTGTGAGCACGCCAAGTGACCTTGACATAGTGAAACTGAGGGAAAAATATGAAGTTCCCAGATCAATAAGGATGTTTGTGCCGTATGAGAACGAGCGAGCCCATTGTCCGTCACTGGTGTGTACCGTCGTTCATATTTGTGTAACTGAGAAATATGAGAAATTTACAAATTGAATGTGTTTTGAGTATAATCGTTACCAATTGCACTCATCGGACATCAAGATGACTGGTCACAATAAAACCCAGGAATGATGGTGTCAGTACATAAAAAATCAAAAATAATGTAAGAAGCCATATTCAATAATGGAAATATCCCTAGTGTCACGGCTGCCATCTGAAACACATTATCCGTAATTACAGTTGCCAACAATCATAATTGCTATCCTACATTGGAAAATGTTGGCTGTTAGCAAAGTCGGGCACTGTTACTTCACAAAATATGGAGACTCAAACCACACACAAAGCCTCCAAAATTCAGCATACCTGATCCAAAAGGGAAGTCACAGAGAGCAACCAATTATTTAACATATCAAACAATAGAATCAACATAAAAAATACTTTTATCAATAGAAATGCTAACACAAGATGAAATCATTAAAATTTAAAAACAACTCACCAGATTTGCTTCTTATACTCGTGAATTTTTTAGGTTAGCCAATGCTTCTTTCAGATTTGCTAATTCATCCAGTGCAATTCTGATAGGATCCTTTAGCTTGCTCATCTTGGGCTAGAAAAATACAGGAGAAAAGGCAAAACCAGCATTGTCAAAGTGTTGCTTGAGAAGCTTGACAAAGCAAGAGCATCAATTATCCTAATTGGTGCTACTTGGATTTTGGTACTCTAGTTCACAGTGAATAGTATAAAGTCACATCAACGAGAGAGGAAATGAATATATAAAAACTTGTACTGGATTATTCTGCAAAACAATATATTTGAGATTTTTCAAACAAAGTACAGAACCCAAACACAATTGAAGCTTCTCTAAATTATTCCATGTAGAACAAAAGATTAAGAACTAATCAATTAACTAACACCATTCACATCAGGAGATGCACACAGCACACATTCTTCACCAATTTACACCATCATTAGCAAAAGGAATTATGGAGATTGGCTCTTTGCAAGGTGCATTCAAACCACTCAACATGCAGATTTCATTTCTTTACCAATCCAACAATGAAACGCTATTTATTCATTCGCAAACATCCGTTTGTATGGGAGATTAACTGTTAACCATTTTCAGCATTGAGAGCAACAGTGAATCAAGTATTCCCTTTCTATTTCTAACTAAAATTGACATAGTTACATGTACCTTGAGCCCGGGGATGAGAGCAAAGACTTCATCCACTGATTCGGGGCATATGTTAACAATCATGCAAATCTGAGGTCACAGAAATTCAATTAAAATTTGCTTGGATAGAAGATCATAAAAGTAGCATTCCAGTATGAGTACCTCGCTTTCAGAAACACCATGCTTTTTCAGAGGCCTAATCCGAGTTAAAGGCACACAATTTTTTATAAGAACATGCATGAAAACATCTTGCAAATGTTCCCTAATAGATACAATTAAAATTCAATTGCTACTATATAAAAGGATACTCGAATATTTTCTTCACCGTCTCAGGCTTTGCAGGATTTCCACTTCTCTTCGCATATGTCAATCCCATATCAAAGGACCTTAAGCAAAAATAGAATCCATCACTTGAACGTGAACTTTTACGTTATAGCATGCAATTCAAGGGAATCAGAATGGAAGTAAGAACTGACTAGGAAATGGAAGCTTTAACCTCTGCCACTCACCCTGGAAGTTTTATGTCTGGATCTTGAGACAATATAACCATTTGATCTTGGATGCTTTGCAAGATGTCTGCGGCTTCACAGTCCATTAAACACTGGGAACTTGGAGGAAGCTCTGCACAATAATATCAATCATTTTAGGAAGACTCAATATATAATTAATCAAACTCACATGCCAAGAATAGTCATTCTTTTCATTTTTATCTATACTACAATCTGGCAGAATCTGGTGCCACTAAATCTACTGTTACTACCACGAGAAGCCAAGGCAATAGACCTGCTAGATAAAATAAGCTGGCATCAAAATGTTACCATTAATGTGCTAACGTCAATTACATTCGAAATCAACAGGAAAAATCCACTCACTCAGAAAGTCCCAGTACTTGTCAAATTATTGAAAAAAATAAATGATATAAGTAGATATGTGGACACATTAACCTTGCTCGAGCTTTTGCTCTATTGAAGTTGCTTTTCCAGAGGTTTTCTTAGAGCCTTTTGCAGTCTTGCCTCCTTTGCCACCTTCGCCCAAGTCATATCATATAATTTAGTTTAGGCATTTATAAGACAATCATAATCAAACTCACATGTTCCATTAGAGCACATCCCTCGGTTGCACATAACATGTAAATAAAAGGATTGAGAGTCAAACCTTTCGCAGCTAGTGGGTCAGCCTTTCCGTTAGACTTCGGACTACTTGCTTCAAGTGAATCTATAACATTGCAGTAAAATATAGATTAAAAAAGAAACAAAATTATGTTGACAAACATCCAGTATTTATCTTTAGCTGAGGAAGTTAAATACATAACAAATAGCAGTAGAAGGTGAGTCCTGTACAAATTCAACCTTCGGAATCAAACTGAACTGTCTTTTCTTTTCCTTTCCTTGACTTTCCAGAGCTTTCACCATTTCCAACTGTTTATGTTGTGCAATGAAATATTAAAAGGGATAAAAAGTACGAAACACACATTTCAAAAAGTCAAGAGTAATGTAAAAACAGATAAATACAATGGTAAGAGGAACCAACTACACTAATTCATATGATACAATCACATCTGGAGGATAGGCACATCAGTGTTTATACTCAATAGCATCTGTAGCATAAATCTATTTCCATCATAAAATAATTGGTCTGACATGATAATGAGCTGGCAGCCTGGCACATAGAGCTAAGAAGAAGGATCAGCATTAAACAAATGTTGCAAAGAAAATATTTCACGGCCTCCATTAATAGCATACTTTCAAGATAAACAAGCCAGAAGATTGAAGATAATGAGATGAACCATAGAAAAACTAACCCAAATTTATGGTACCACAAAAGCTACAGATTACATTGGAAATTTAAGCAACATCATTACAGAATATGCAACATAGATAATTCTGGTTCATGGAATTATATTCATAAACAAAGCAGGATTTAGCACACGGACGCGCAATAATAGTTACTTATGGCTAATAGAACATCAATTTATTTTCATTCCTAAACTGAGGCTGGAATAAGTCGCATTATGGAAACAAGGAATTTCTAAGATGTAAAAAGAGTTGAGAAACCCCCAACATCATGAAGATAAAACGAGAATTATATATTGATGGAAGAAAAACAGATATTTACTTTATATCCTTAACAAATGCAAAGAGGAAAAAAAACATACATGAACAGGGGAACTCCACATAAGTAGTCAGACATCAAGCACGTACCAAGTATAAAACACTAACTTTATCCTATATAAGAATGATAAACATCAACCTCTCAGCCAGAGTTATAAAAGAAACATCAATTCACTCAACATAGAGCAGTCACTTAAAATTCAGACAAACTTACGCGATCATAGCACACATTAATTGGAAAAAAACTAGATTATAAGAGTTGTGAGGAAACGAATAAATACCCGGTGACTTTAGAGAAGTTTTTCCCCCTTTTCCTGACATTCTTTTTTCCTTGAAGGACCTAAAAAGTCGCAAAAACAACACTTAAAACACATGGATTTTCCCAAATTATGTTTTCGGGAGCCTCGGCATACACATACCAGGACAAAAAGAGCCAGATTGATAATTTCAAAAGAAGAACATGGATTCAACCAAACCCCAGACAAAATAAAAACTTCCCAATTTTCCACTGGAACGAATTCCGATATCCAAATATTGAAAGAGGAAAGGAAAAGGAAAACAGATTATCTTGCATGCATAAATTCTTACGGATATTGGAAGCGGACGCCGGGCTGTGGTGGTCCACAGCAGTAGTATGGTGCGTGAAGTTTGGTGTTTAACTCTTCTTGGGTTTCTCCTTTTTCTAGTGAGGGTGATTCGAAATTAGAGAAAATTGCAAAACTAGTCCCATATGATTAGACAAGTTGAATATTTGGCCCAATAAAATGCAAATTTGGTTTTTTACACTTTTTGTTTTTACAACTTTAGTCTTATCACTGTTAGGACTTAGGAGTTAACGGGACACTAGCCGTTATATGTTTCATACAAAGTAAAATATTGAAAAATTGGTCCCATAAAATATTATAAATTGCAAATTTAGTTCTAAGTTTGACAAAATTGGTTCTAAATATTTTGTTTTTTGCAAGAATAATCATATTTGCTTTAAATATTACTAGTACGTAACCCGTGCGATGCACGTACTATATTCATTTTGGGAAATATAGTGTAGTACCGGTGCGCAGTACGGTGGGTTATTTCCTCAAAATTTTTTTTTTCTAAACTTTATTTAATATTTTTGTTTATAAATTAATAATTTGATTGTAATAAAAAAAAAAGAGAGAGAGAAATACAAAGTACAAAAAAAATTATATATTATTAAACACTTCTCTATACACAACATTCTTGGTTTAATTTTCTGCCAAACCTTCTTCTCCACAAATTAAAATTTTCAAACTGTTTCTGTAAGTCTTGGATTTTTAATTTTATCAAACACTTCCCTATACACGATTAATTTTGAATTTTACCTCATAAGAAAGTCTTAAATTTCCGGAACAGTGTCAACGCCAATCAACAATGTGACATCCTTCGAAGTTGTTACTTGAATTTCATCTAATGTACAAATTAAAGTAAACAATTATTAATTAAATAAGTCCATAAATCTATGAATGTTAAACTAAATTTCCTTTCAATATATAACATGTTGTGATATGGTATGTGATATGGGTACTGTTGATAAAGTTGATAAACATATAATAGAAATCGTATAATGTTGTATGTCATACATTTTTTTTATTTAAATTGGAATGTAACGTTTGTCAAACAAATTATGACATTTGAATTCATCTCTTTTTTACGGAATTTTGGTAAACGGTGGTTCATGTGATTGAAATTGTATCATGTTATGATTTATATATTTTTTTTTTCTAAATAAATTGGAATGTCACGTTTGGTAAACAAATTATAACTTGTGAATATAAATCAAAATTTACAATGAAAAAAAAAAAAAAACCGATGTTGATTTTTATATTCAAAATGAAGTTCACTTTTTCAAATAATGTCTCTAATTTATCAATGATTTTATGGCAATTAAAGATCGTGTAATTATTGCAAGGAAACATATGAATTATCAATGTCAAACAAAATCTATTTCATCTTTTTACATATGCAATTAGATATACATCAACAAAATTTACAATTTTTTTGGAATACCCGAAAAAATCAAACAGATTGCACAGAATCTGTAATTTATTTAGGATACCCGAAAAATTCAAACAGATTTCATAGAGGCGGGATTTTTCAATTTTTTCTAAAAAAAAGTTACTTAGTTTAGTATTTATGAAATTTTAAGCGGGAAACCAAATGATTTCTTATGATTTTTTGTTACTATTTCAGGTAAATATTATTGTCTCATTATATATTAATAGATATCTAAAATAAATATTAAGATGATATCGACCATTAGGATGAATTATGACCTGAAGTCTTTATGGTAAAAAGAATTTGTTATACCTTTTATCATATGGTTAATTTATCAATTTTACAATTACATATCAAGATTAATGCCAATCGAAAAAATTTTATAACAAATAAAATGTGATTATCTATATAAAATTTAGTATATATCTAATGTTTTTTTAAATCTTATTCTCTTTTTATATGTATAGATATAGATATTAAAAATACCTAAAAATCGTTCATATGTAAAAAATATCTAATATATTATATATTATATCTAGAAATATGTGTGAAGTCACCTAAAAAAATTAACCTATTTATGTATAGATACACCTAAATATAGAGAATGGGTAAAAACATATATCAAGATATGTTTAAAAATATCTAAAATATTGCAACCCGACAAACATTAAGAATACCTAGACTATTATTTAACGCATGTAAAAGTGTCTAAAATATTATTTTTTTAAAATGTGAAATTAACTTCTTTTTTTTTCTATAAAAACATGTTTAAAGTTATATCCACTCTTATATATTAGAGCCTAATGCGAAAACATTAGTAATTATATGCGTGAATAATCTGTATTACAACGTAAAAAATGACGTAGAAAACATTAATTAGACCGTAAATTATTACAACATAAAAAAACATTAATTAGACCATACACTATTTTTATTTTATGTATATAGTAGATATAAAATAAGATGTTGGTGAAAAAATATTCCATATATGTTTCAAATGCTTGACTAAATTTATCAAATTATCGAAAAATTCAAACGACATATTGCGAAATTTTTTAAAATAATTTATTATGTTTAGTAATATATTTAGGCGGGATTTTATATAATTGTTAGTTACTATTATCACATGATGTTTAGTAATATATTAGGCGGGATTTTAGATAAATTTTAGTTATTTTTTTTATATAAAAACTTGTTTAAAGTTATATCCACTTTTATATATTAGAGTCCAATGCGAAAAGATTAGTAACTATGTGCGTGAATAATATGTATTACGTAAAAAACAATACTCCAATATGCGTGAATATATATTACAACATAATAAAACATTAATTAGATCATAATACTCCAATATGCGTGAATATGTATTACAACATAAAAAAAATTAATTAAATCATACTTTACCGTATATATTTCAAATAAAAAGATATTTATCGTTTTATCATGTTTTTGGTTAAGTAGTTAGAAAATTACGAACACATTGCATATTGCAAAATTTTTCAAAAAATTTACTATATTTAGTAATATATTTAGGCAAGAGTTTAAATGATTTTTTAGTTATTATAATTGGATTATTTAGTTACTCAATTGTGTGATTTTAGGAAAATTTTTAAAAAATGTCATCGTGAATTTTCCAAAAAAAATATAAGCAAAATTAAATAATTAAAAATCTTGAACTATAGATAATGACAATAATTCTAACTAATATGACACTAAATTACAATCCAACGTCAAGTGTCTTTTTATCAGATTAATCACTTACACACGTCGTCAAACCAAAACTCTCTCTCTTCAACTTGAAGAGCCGAAAAATTTGGCACGAAACTGCAATTGCTTTCTCTCGCCCAAAAATTTCTGCGGAAAATTGGGACCATCTTTTTTACACGTTATCCTTGCCAAAAAAATTTTCAGAAAATAAGGCAGCATAATTTTCACGTGAAGCACCATGGCAGACTTCTAAAAAGCTCCGTCTTGTTTTCCATTCAGCTGGAAAATACCAGAAAACGCAGTTGCGTCTCCGACCAGCTGCTCTTGTCGTCGACGGCACCCGCTCGCAGCCCCACGCTCAGCCCAGCCTACCGACCCCGCGCAACATCTTCTATGGCCAGGATATGCCCGTTCAGGCGACCTTCGATATGAAAGTCCAGAACGATGCTGTCGAGTCCATCCGCCTTCAGCAGCCTTGCACCAAAATTCCTGTCAGGCCCTCTAGACCACCAGTCCGGCCCAAGCAAACAAACCGCTTGGAGCCCACACATCCAACAGCCATGAAAACCGGGCAGAACCTTCTCCGTTCGGTTCGCCTTGTGAAGCTTAAAAAAATACTATGAACATATCATAATATTTTATTAACAATCAACATGAAAAAATAATTTACCTAGTATGTCACTCAAACAAAAATGGTATATAAATTTGTGAGAGATATTCTTGAATTATTCTTGAATAACAAACAACAAATAAACCACAAAACTATAGAAATATTCTTGAATTAACATAAACATTAAAAATAAAATAAAAGGGGGAAGCCAACAAAAAAAAAGTAAAAGTAACATGAGAACTAAACTGAGCACTGGTTGAACTCTTGTGAGCCTTTGAAGGGCTTTCATCAATCTGAGGATGAGCAGCAAAAGCCTCAAGCCATCCATTCACATCAACCTGAAGAATTCAAGAAACAACAACAAACATGAATCATTAAATCCGATTAATTACAAACAGTGTATATATGTCTGAAAACAGAGAATTTGTGAGAAAAATCGATACTTTGTTGAACCAGATATCTTTAGGAAAAAAAACATAGAAAACAGAGCCCACACAGAAAAAAAAGAACAAAAACAACAAAATTAAAAAAACAGAGCCATTGTAGTTAATCTGAAGCTGTTTGGGTCCTAAAAACACACCGGAGATTAACGACCGATGGCCTCCCGTCTCGCGTTGGCCGAGCTCCCAATATCACCTTAGCAACATAAAAAAACCAAATGAAAATTGAAAAAAAAAAGTAGAAAAATAGAGTAAAAATCAAGTTAGAAAATCAGAGAAAATCACAAGGTACAGGGCGAGACCGGTGAATAAGCAGAAGGCTCCACGGCCTAATCCTCGTGATGGACTCAATCTCCGTATCGATGCCTCGAATATTCTCGCGCAGGCCGCCGGAGCCGTCGAGCTGGTGCCGAAAGCCGTCGACTGCTTCTCGAGCGCAACGTGGTGGGGGAAGGGGCGCGTGAAAGCCACTCTTGTAGCCGTCGAATGCTTCTCGAGCTCCTCGCCGGCATCCCGCAGTCGCGAGTGACCGAGATTTGATTTCGGAATTTAAAGAGTTGAGTGTGTAAGGAAGAAAGCGAATTTGTTCAGGGATCGGATTTTTGGTGTTGATTGTTGGATTTGTAGAGAAGAAGAATTGGGGATCTGAATGCTGCGAAAGTAGAAGAAGAGGAAAATGAAAGAAAGTGAGAAGAAGATACGGGAAAATATCTGTGCACCAAAGACATATGCCATTTTTTTTCCTCCGATATATCTGTGTATGAATTTTTATCGTGAACCTTCGGATCTGATGATAAACAAATGTATTTATATAGATAGGATTCTATAACACACGTGATTTTAGTTAGAAATGATTTTGGAATGATTTAATTAAGATATATACAAATATTTGACAACAAAATCTAACCAAATCTTATAAAAATCGGATTGGCTAAATAGATAAGGCTTGAAATCAATAACTAAAATATAAAAAACGTTTGAATTGGTTGAAGGCGGGTAGATTCAATTTTTTACCAAAAAAATTCCTCATTATAGTATTTATTTAGGCGGGAAATGAAATCTTTTTTTTCCTGATTTTCCACATGATTTTTTCAAAAAACTATCATTCCCTCTTTATATATTAATTAATGAAGCAATTTTAGAAAATTATTCTTCTAATTATGTATATTGCATATTATATTCATTTTAAATTATTTATACTTTTAAAAATTATAAACAACATGACTTTTTAAGAATATTAATTACCTTTTCTAAGTTAATAATAATGTTGTCAATATTTAACAACAATTTGAACAATCCGTCAAAATTATCTTATTAGTCAGGTTTAGATACTTTCGCATGACATACTGGAGAACCTGACTTGTAATCAAATTCAAGAACTACTTGTAATCAAATTCAAGAACTTGAACAGGATTGAAAAACATAAAAATAAAAAAAAAATAAAATAAAATAAAAAAAAAAAGGAGAGATAGAGACAGAGAAAGGAAAACATTGCTCCAAACTGTACTAAATTTAAATGATATTTTCATAACAATAATAAATATCCACACAAATAAATAACTAACATCAAAAGAAATATATCTAACAATCTTAACTAGAAATCGAAATACTGCAGGGCCTTTCACTTTATTCACTTAACCCCACACAAATATCACACTAATTAAACTAACTATTGAGTAAATTTAATTGCTAGAGTTGAGATTAACCACTATTGGACTCCTCACATAATGCCTCCCATCAGACCACAAAAGCTCCCCAAAGCTATACCCACTCTTGACACCTCTGTTGGCCTTTATAGTCACCCTAAACTCCTTCTCCCCGATTTTCTCGAATTCCAGCACTTTTGGCTCCACCGAGACCCTGAAACCGGGTGGCTGACGGATGCGCGAGGTATACTTCCCGGGCCAGCCCACATTCTTCACCTTCCGGGCAACGGTGACAGACCCATTCACCTTTGGGACCGTGATGGATGGGTTGTTGAAGTCAAGCAAACTGTAGTCAGTTGGGCATTCATAGTGAGACAAGGTGAATTGGGCCAGGTGGGCCTGGCTGTATCCGAGCCCACAAAGGAAGTCAAGGTAGTCGTTGACCGTCAGGTCGTAGACCAGGCCAGGGTCTTGGGCGCGGTTTGGTCTGATGTTTTCGTGGCTAGAATCCGACAATGGCTTAACGGTGTTGTCACGAGTCCTCGCTGTTCATCACAATCAATTCAATCAATAGGTACAAAAAACTAACAGAAACATATATGTTTCTTGTAGACGACACGAATGGAAAATGCAGAGCAGAGATTTTTACCAGTTGTCATGATGGCAGATCTAAATGCGGCCGGGCTCCAATCGGGATACAATGTCTTGAGCAGGCCCACAACACCCGAAACATGGGGACAAGACATTGAGGTCCCAGACATCACCGTGAAAGCTGTCCTGCAGTGGTCAAAGTCCAACTCTGTCGGGCTTGTTCCCTCGGTATAAGAAGCTATTATGTCAACACCTGGAGCCGTAATATCGGGCTGGATAAAAGCAAAAAAATTAGGGCAGAGTATTTATTAATTATTTTTTGGAAAGAAAAAAAAAACAACAACAACAACAATGATAAATAAACCTTGAGGATTTCCGGGGTAATGGTGTTGGGTCCCCTGGATGAGAAGGTGGCCATAAAAGGTGCCGGTTTTGTATTCAGCAGCACCTTTGGAATAGTAATAAGACCTTGTGGATACCTGGAAGCACAAATTTTGTCGATTTAAGTAAGGTGGTACATATAATGAAAGTATATGAAAAACTGATGATGGCTGGCTACTCATGAATCACATACTTGGTACTAATTAAATGGGCAAAGAGAGTACGGCCATCCTCATAACCGATGTGTGTGGCCGGTAGAAAATGTGGGTCAGACATGATCTGCTCTCCGGAAGACTCGTCGTTGCAGAGAATCATCCCAACAGCATCCGCACGTGCCGCCACCACACCCTTCTGAACTCGTGCGTTTTCTCCTCTTAGGCAAACAACTATTTTACCCCTCACCTTTTTCATGTCCAACGTATCCGGTTTGCAGAGTTGACTGATACAGGTTTCGAAATAACAAATAATGTTAGCGAGCATGTCAAATTCGAAGAAAAATCAAAGAGAAAAAGAATCCTTACGCATCCACTTCGGTTGCATTGGCAGCTTTAGCATCGGCCGCGCTAATAAGAGGGTAGAATTTGTTCTCCGACTAACGGTCTCGTAAGGCTTTTACCCTATTAGTAGTATTACAGGTGCAAATTAACACATCATCAAATGATAACACGCTAGGTTAGGTTGTTCAATAATCGATATTATCGACATGGAATTTTGTTGAATTACCTTGAACACTCGACCATTCCTCAATTTGAGATCTGCATCAAACTTTCTGTCGAGCGTGCTTGCCCCGACAGTTATGATCCACGGGGCTGCATTCGACACAGTCCCGGGGGAGGGCCCGCTGTTCCCGGCAGATGGCACTACGGTGACTCCTCTCCGCACAGCATGAAAGGCAGCAATGGCGATGCCGTCGGTGAAATAGTCATCAGCAGCCCCTCTAAGGGAGACAGAGAGAACGTCGACCCCATCGTCAATGGCCACGTCAAAAGCCTTCATGATGTCAGCATCGAAGCAGTGGTCGCCCCAGCACACCTTGTAGGCGGCAGCTTGGGCCCGGGGGGACCCGCCCTTGGAGGTACCGTTCCCGACACCAAACACGCTGGCCGAGGGGACAAAGCTCCCGGCGGCCGTCAAGAGGGTGTGGGTCCCGTGGCCCTCGGAGTCGCGCGCGTTTTGGAATGATGAGTATTTGGATATATCAAGAAATTTCGTAAAGGAATAGATTGATATAATTTAATTATCATAAATCATGACAATCGCATAATTTATTTAACAAATTATGAATCAATGTTAAGTACCTGTTGCAAAGGTGTTGCTTATGGCCTTCGAACTGACAGATTCCTTTCCACTTGGAAGGAATGGGACCAATCTCATTGTCGCTAAAGCTCTTGGATTCAGGCCAGATACCTAATTGTTAGTTAGATAGTTAGTTAATAAGCCAGGTAAAAAAATAATAATAATAATAATTGCGATCATAATAAACCAACCATGAAAAGTAACAGCAATTACGGAAAAAAGATTGAATTTTTATTTTATTTGATTTTAATTTTACCGGTGTCAAGTGTTGCAATAATTGTTATCTTCACCATATTGAGCTTTTTCCCAAATGGAATACGGACTAACAAAGCCATCCTTTTCCAGGCCAAGAAAATCCAATGAATTGAGTTGTGTGCAATTTCTACCTTTGTCCTCTAGTACTGATACCACCTTTGGATACTCTACATTTTATGTGACAAAAGTTAATTACAATCATTATAAAATAAAAATGTAAAGATAAACACAAACATGATGATTGAATAGATTATATGAATGTTAATATGCTTGTATATACTAGCAATCTCAGCAGCCTCTTCTTCCTCAAGAAGTGCGGCAAACCCATTTATATTCCTCTTGTATGAGTAGAACATGGAATCTCTAGCCTTTTGCTCACTGCTGCATCAATGACATCATCGAAGGGCATCAAATTCTCGAACCGTTGCAGCGTCGTCGGGGTGTCAAATAGTAACGCACTCCCCAAAAAATCCCCGTTGATATCTTGTACATTATTGAAGCCGTTAAAAGGAGCTAACATACATCGAAGTGAGCTTCTTTCCATGTTTATGAAATTGTAGATATTGAGATAGGAAGTTCTCATTTGGCAAAAAACCGTACAAGAAGTCAAAATTAAGACCGCAAGCTATCCCTGGTTCGGCTTTTGTAACTCTTGCTCCTCAGAATACGATGCACAACAGCCCGACTCATACGTTTTGGGGGTGTTGGACGGGATAATTTGGAGTGGACTCTGACTGAATGTGTAAAATAGGGATACGGAAAATGATGACGAGGTGTCAAATTATTATTCTTTTGTTTTTCGATGTTCTCATAAACAGAAATATAACCAAGGACTTGTTCAATAATGTCGGTTGGCTTTATCAACTCAAAATCAAAGTGCACATGATAAGGATCGCGCACAACAATGCTAGATGAAGAGGAACTACTAATTTGGGCACAACATTGAATGTTAGATGAAGAGGAATAATGAATCCATGAGAAAGACAAAGATGACCTCGTCTAGAGGAAAGAGGTTCTCAAGAGGAAATACCTGAAAAACGACCAACACCTAGTTCAAAGGAAACGTTCAAAGGAAAGGACATCCAGAGGAAAAACGACCAACCTCTTCCATGACCTCTGGAGGACAAAGCCTGACCAGTACCTCCACCATATGAAACAAGCATCATCATTGTTGCGAATCTAGGGTTTCAACTCTCAGGTTATTTAAATTTGGAATGTGAACTTAGCGTTTGGATTGAGGTCGCAGGAGAATTTTGAGAAGAGAGGGTTTTAGAGGGGTTTCGGGGGTTTGTCCCAAAATTTTGGTTTAAAAGGGTGTTGGTTTAGGTCCAAAATTTTAGAATGTGAACTTAGCGTTTGAATTGAGGTCGCAAGGGATTTTGATTAGGAAGGGTTTTATAGGGGTTTCGGGGGTTTGGGCCTACTCGCGCCTAGCCCAAACCCCCCGAAACCCCTCTAAAACCCTCCCTACTCAAAATTCCCCAGCGACCTCAATCCAAAAACTAAGTTCACATTCCAAAATTCTGGCCTAAACCAACACCCTCCTAAACCAAAATTTTGGGCCTACTCGTGCCTAGCACAAATCCCCGAAACCCCTCTAAAACCCTCCCTACTCAAAATCCCCCTACGACCTCAATACAAACGCTAAGTTCACATTCCAAATTCAAATACCCTGAGAGCTGAAACCCTAGATTCGCAACAATAATGATCTTTGTTTCATATGGTGAAGTTACTGGTCATGCTTCATCCTCCTGGAGGTCATGGAAGATGTTGTGATCGTCTTTCCTCTGGATGTCCTCTCCTTCTTTCCTTTAAACGGAGGTGCTCGTTTTTCAGGTATTTCCTCTTTAGGTCCTCTTCCTCTTTTCTCTGGAGGAGGTCGTCTGTCTTTCTCATGGAGTTCATTGTTCCTCCTCTTCATCTAACATTGTTGTGCCCAAATTAGTAGTTCCTTGTTCCTCTTCATCTAACATTGTTGTGTCCGATCCTTATCATGTAGACTTTGATTTTGAGTTGATAAAATCAACCGACATTACTGAACAAGCCCTTAGTTATTGTTTATAAGAACATCGAAAAACAAAAGAATAAGAACTGGACACCTCGTCATCATTTTCCATATCCCTATTTTATTCAGGGTCCACTCCAAATTATTCCGTACAACACCCCCAAAACGTATGAGTCGGGCTGTTGTGCAGCGTATTCTGAGGAGCAAGAGTTACAAAAGCTTCGAATCGAAGTGCTAGCTTGCGGTCTTAATTTTGACTTCTTGTAAGGTTTTTTGCTAAACATCTATCTGGAACCGGAAAGAGAGAACTTCCTACATCAATATCTACAATTTCATAAACATGGGAAGAAGCTCACTTCTGACTTCTGATGTATGTAAGCTCCTTTTAACGACTTCAATAATGTACAAGATATCAACGAATTTTCTGGAGAATGCGTTCCTATTTGACACCCCGATGACGTTGTCATCGCGGTTCGAGAATTTGATGCCTTTCAACACTCATCCATCACACAAAGTTGGCGCCAAATTCCATGTCAACTATGTGTTCCGGCTTTGACAATGCAAAGCACCACGCCAACCTGCTTTCAGTAAAGAGGGAAACATTTGCATCAATTTTTTCGTCTCAGGGAGAATGCTCTTCTTTGTGGGCCAATGTCATAAGTTGACCAGCTCTTCTTTGTGGGCCATCAACAAATCATACCATTTTCTTAAACATGTACCATAGTTTTAAATGGCGAATGGCGAGGCGAGGCGAATGGCGAGGCGAGGCGAATGGCGAAGCGAGGCGATTGGCCCATTGCCTCGCCACGAGGCGAGGCGAATCGCCATGGCGAGGCTTCGGCAACACATGCCATCAAAAGCTTAAATATATATAGTAATATCATACATTTAAGTTCAAGTACCAAAAATAACCTTAAATATCCAAAAAAAGATAATGTAAATTAAATTTAGTTGTAATTACTAAAAGCATCTAAAACTTAAAGGTGAATGCTAGTAACATTACAAAGCAAAAATATTGAATTTACACTGTGTAGTAAACATAAAATAGAAAAAAGTTAAAGAAGGCAAATAAAAAGTGTAAAATAAAAGTAAATGAAAGAAAAGATGCTGCAACCTTTCACCTTTGACTATTGACCATACCAGTAAACATAATAATAAAGAAAAAAATGAAGAAAGAAGAAAAAGAGACGGCAGAAACGGGAATGGGAAAAAGAGAAAGGGACAAGGAAAGGAAAAGAAAAGGCATGCATCACCGACCGTCTTGGCGGTGCGAGATGGTGGCCGGAGTTCAGAGGAGGTCAGAAATGGGATGGGTCGGCCTTGGGTTTCTGCAATTTTCAAATTCGAGAAGCCTAGGGAGTCCTTTCGTAGAAACCCTAGGTCGGGGAGAAGTCATTTAGAGATTTTTCACTGAGATTTTTTTGCTTTCGATCTGTTTTAATTTTATTCTCTTTCTGAAAAGTGTCGCTTTTTTTCAAAAAAAATGGCCTGCCGCTTAATTTCCTCTGAAAGGCACCGAGGCGCGTCTCACAGGCGCCTCTCGCCACGCGAAAAGGCGAGCCGAGGCGACCTGAAGCGAGCGCCTCGCGAACAGGGTCGCCTCAGGCAGTGGCGAGGCGAAGTGGCCCTCGCCTCGGTCGCCTCGCCTCGAGGCGTCGCCATGGCGTCGCCATTTTAAACTATGACATGTACTCCTTTCGGAAGCAGTTACCTTGCACCAGGCTTAGGTTTAAAGGTGTAAAATAATCAGACAACATGAAACAAATTTTGATTCCACAATAAATAAGAACAAAAATAAAATTAGAAAAAGTATGGATAGAGAGTATGGATTCGTTCATAAGTCAGAACAGCCTACAAGAACAAAGATTTACTTACATACTTCTTGTAATGCAGCCCAAAAAGGAGAGGACCAAAAAGCAAAATTAAAAACAGAACAGCAGATGGAATGGCCTGAAGAAACTCACAAAGAAATGCATCATGTGCTGAAGCAATTGCATCATTCGTTTCCCTTCTACCCATGCATGAAACATTTGTTATTACTTCACCAGTTGCAGGATTTTGGACCTGTCCCAAAAGGCAATAAGTATTAATCCACTGTTGCTTTCAGAAAAACCTACTCACAAGTTCACTTCCTGTATTGGCCTTTTCATCAACAATAAATGAACTGCCTAACCTCAATAGTCTTCCCATCGTATGCATCCGTCCATTTTCCTCCTATAAGTCCCTGACTTCGAATAAAGCCCGCACTGTTCAAGCGAGCAGTCTCAAATCACAGTTTTCAAATGAAATCATGCATGTATACAGTATTAGTAGCAGTGACAAACAAGATGTCATGTACCCGATAGGGATTAGATTAATATTTTATTTAGTGATTTTATATTAGTTTATGTTATTATAGGTAATGGGCTTGGACTTTGGGTTTTAATTAGTAGGTTAATATTGTGGAGCTTTTGTAAGGAAATTCTATAAGTAAGTGTAATGTGCGAAAAAAGGAAGGGATCGAGAAGTAATATCATTATCTATTTTCTCCCTCAATTTCTCTCTCCTCTAACTCTCCCTCCCTCACGTGTTTCTTTTTCTCTCCCTCCCCAATTTCTGCAACTCCCTCTTCTGCTAAATCCTCCGAAAATTATACAAAAATCCAGAAAAAAATTAATACAAATATTACAGAAAAATCGAGTCCATAACAATTGGTATAAGAGCGGTCGATCCTCGGAAGGTGGCCAATGAACTCAGTCTCGATTTCTTAGAACATCAACAGAAGAACTTGGAGCAAAAATTAAAGCTAGAAATTCAAAAAAGAGAGGCTAGCCATTTGAAGTTGCAAAGCCAAATCGATGGGTTCAAATCAAATTTCCATGGGATGAAATCCAATTTCCAGCAGCAAATGCAAGGGATGAATGAGAAATTCGATCACATAAATGAGGTACTACTTTCTAAATTTTCTATACAATTGCAAATCCTTAACCTTCAATCTCGGTCCCAAAAATTTGCCCCTCTACCCCAGCAAAACCATTCTCAGCACAACCAAAACCTACTCCTGAAGCTATCACTACCTCAATTATTTGTGTTATGAAATTACCCAACAATCCAGAATCCCATCCTATCTTTCACGGAAATTATGAGAAAAAAATGGAAGATGAAGGCTCTGTGCTGATCAAAAACCTGATCGAAACTTCTAAAAAAGAGCTGCAATATGTTGCTGTGACTGAGCATACACATATCGGTGAGTCAAATAAAGTGCCAGATCCGACTTTAGTGGATATTCAAATGCCAAAAATCCAGAAATCTGAAGAAGTTCTTGACAATCCAGAGGACTCGGTGCCTAACCTCATCGGTGAATTACTTGAAGCCCCAAAGCCTCCTGAGCAGTTCTTCACACTGGGACCAAATTCAATGGGAAAGTTGTCGGATACAGATCAAATGGCATCACTAAAGCAGAAGGTGGATTCAATTACCTTATCTGGTCGAGATATGAACGTCCTCTTTGAAACTGATTTGGAGTTTGAAAGTCTATTTTGCCTGGGACTGTTCCAAGAGAAATCGATGACGTTAAGATGGACGTGCTTCGTGATAGACCGTGGAAAACGAGCACGAAGCCAGGGCGGTGTAAAAAAGTCGATGGTGAAGCTCGGCGGCAGCCTCGAAGATGCTTGGTCTCGCCGGCCTCCGAAATGTGTCGGTAGGCTTAAACCCTGCTCACGACTAGCCACGAAGGAGTGGTGTCGATTTTCCCTCGCCGGTAACTTAATGGTGCCTCACCGTCAAGGCTGTCAACGGACCAACACGGAGAAAAATCACCAGGACGGTCGAGTGAAGGCTCAAATCCATCAAATTCCCAGACGAGGTAGGTGTGGGAGTAATAGATTGGTAACAATCACATGAACAAAAACAAAGGAAAGATTGATAGATTGAGAATGAAAGAGAAAGAGGATAGATGAGAGCGGCTGTTTCGTACAGAGAGTGAAAAGAGAAAAATGAAAATTGACTGAATGATCGATTAGGGTTCACAACACCCTATTTATACTATTGCTACATAACTAAAGGTGCTAAATATCTAATGACACTTTCTACTAATAAGAACAACACTATTAATATATAGTGTAAAACCCTAGGGCCGCTAGACAAGGCATAACGAGACTTTATTTCTTCCCACACATCTTGAGCAACAGTGAAGAACAAAAGAGATTGACGAACATCTTTATTTACAGAGTTTAACAACCATGACAAAACTAGATTATTAGCCCTAATCCAGGCAAGAGACAAATTAGGGTTTGCTGTCGGATTAGGGGCAGAAAGAGTACCGTCAATAAAACCGAGTTTGTTCTTCACGCTAAGGGCCATGGATACGGCGCGAGACCACGAGACGTAGTTGTCGCCGTTGAAGAGCTCGGCGACGATCAATGCTCCGGGATTGTCGCTGGCGTGCAAAAAATATGGAGATGTAGGATCGTCAGAAGGATTTACGGTAGACATTGGTGAAAAATCTCAGAAACAGTGTAGATCGGTGATAGGAATAATAGATCGGGGCACCAATTCTTCAGATCGCGAAAACAAATCGCAAAATAAACCAAAATCAGAGAAAATATAGATCGATGAGCAGCGGAAAACAGGATCTAGGCTCTGATACCATAATAGATTGGTAACAATCACATGAACAAAAACAAAGGAAAGATTGAGATTGAGGATAGATGAGAGCGGCTGTTTTGTACAGAGAGTGAAAAGAGAAATGAAAATTGACTTCGATCGATTAGGGTTCACAACACCCTATTTATACTATTGCTACATAACTAAAGGTGCTAAATATCTAATGACACTTTCTACTAATAAGAACAACACTATTAATATAAAGTGTAAAATAAGCTTTAGTCTGTTAGGGAGTTTAGGGCTGAGCCGTACCTCGAAGGGGCGGGGCCGGTCTTTCCTCGCCGGTGCTACATCGACCACGCACGGAAGAAAACGCGGCGGTCGAGAGACGGCTAAGATCCGTCGAATTCCCATGCCCGGCAGGCGGATAGACGCGTGGTCACGGCGAGTTGCTCAGAGGGGTGACGATTGGAGAATACCTCCGGAGCCGCCACCAATTTCAGAACTCTGGGAAAAAGAAAAAAATGGCAGGAGCTTCAAATTCGAAAATAAGCACCAGGTGACTTGTTCTCGTTGGATTTCCAAGAAGGGTGGGCGGTCGGAAGCTTGGTCTCGCCGGATCGCTAAAGCTCGAAAGTCACCGGCGTCCGTTTTTGAAGGGTCACGAACGAGAATTATTTCTGTAGCCATGGATGATTCTGGAAATCGAAGGGGAGTTGGGAATTGGGCTGTGATGATTTTATGGGCTAATATAAGCAGATGCCTTTCCTTTGAGAGGAAATTACATCCCCTACTAAAATATTTCATTTATATCTAAAACAGGAATTATCAATATGTAACCGTTTCTAATGAACTAACGTGTGCCCCATGCGATGCACGGGAACAATATTTTAAATAGACCTCGAGTTTGAGTCACGGCGAAAGTAGAACTTACTATTGATCTTATTTAAAAAGAAGAAGAAAAAAAATAATTATAAATTAAAAAGGAGAATAAATAATACTTAATAATTATAAATTAAAGATTCAGGGTCAAACAATGTAAAATTATTTTGTATAAGAGAATATAAAATTTACATTATTTTGTATAAGAGAATATAAAATTTATATGTTTAATATTAAAAACACCTAAAATATTATATTAGTATTTGTAAGAGTAATCAAAATTTTCTATATTATGTTTGAAAGATGTGAAGTCACCTACAATATTTCTAAATAATTTTAGAAGGAACATATCTAAAAACATTTGAATTTAACATTACGTAAAAAAGATTTTTCTAGACTATTTTGTAAGGAACATGTCTACAAATATTTAAATTTAACATCAAATATGTATGTGTATATGTATATATAGACGAATATGTAAAATATTATGAGTATAATTTAATAAAAACATTATGTCAGATAATACCGAATATATGGCGTTACTTCCATCTAAAAAACTTTGATTACACACTTATTTTTTTTACGTTGTTAAAACTTTGATTACACACTTATATTTTTTACGTTGTTATCGAGGAGGATATATTGCTAGCTTATAATATTTGTAAAAATATTAGTAATTAGACCGATGAAAATTAGCCTGTAGATAATGGATTTCTAGTAGTAATTATGAATTGGTTTTTATTTTATTTTATTTTTTAAAAATATTTGTAATTAGACCGATGAAACTATATTAGTATATTATAATTTATAAGTATATAACCAATATAGCATATGTATATGTGTTGTATAATATTATATGTATATTATATAATCAGTTACAAAAGGTGATCGTGTTGCACATATTAGTATATGTATAGTATATTATCAATATATAATAGTATATTATTAATATATAACAGGTATATTATAGGTATATAACATGTACAGTATATGTGTATTATATGTATATAACAGGATAAAGATACACTGAATAAAAAATTAACTATATTAGTATATTATAAGTATATAACCAATATAGCATATGTATATGTGTTGTATAATATTATATGTATATTATATAATCAGTTACAAAAGTTGATCGTGTTGCACATATTAGTATATGTATAGTATATTATCAATATATAATAGTATATTATCAATATATAACAGGTATATTATAGGTATATAACATGTACAGTATATGTGTATTATATTAGCGGTTTATAACAGGTTATAATACATCAGTAAAATCATCATGCTCGAATCCATCTAAAAAAAAAACGAAAATATACATATACCCATCAGCACAAAAAATCAACATCTACTACGATTAAATGAAGGTTAATATCAAAAAATATAACTCCAAATCTTCAGTTTATCCGATCGACGACCCCCTCTTTTTTTTTCTCCGTTTTTTCAATGTGGTATATGGTCGTGAAAACAAAAAACAACGATCGACGATCTGCGTTTTTCAAATTCATCAGTAAAATCATCATGCTTGTGTTTTTCAAATTCAAATATGATTCTTTCCATCTTCAATCCGGAAATTGTGCGCTTCGGGAAAGAAAAGGATTGCGCCTGTATAAATGATGATCGACGATCTGCGTTTTTTTTTTTTTTTTTTTCNTTTTTCGGTCTGTATCAATGAATCTTGTGTTTTTCAAATAAAATATGATTCTTTCCATCTTCAATCCGGAAATCGTGCGCTATAGACATGGGATAGGTTTGACAAATAGTTGTAACTGATTTTAGGCATGAATGCAAACAATTCTTATCTATTAGGTATATTCTCAATTAAGTTGTTATGAATGATAAGGTTGCAATTACTTCCAAATCATGTAGGATGCTTAAAAATTTCCCTTCATTTTATTGGGTTGTGCTTCATTTTATTGCATTTGGACCGAGTCCATTTATAATTGGATTTGGGCCTTATGAAGGAGTGGAAAATGGCAGTTCGAGAACAAGATGACTTTTGCTGGAATGCCTTATTTGAATTTGGGTTGGGTTACTGCAATTAGTAAGCTTAACAATTAGGCTAATTATTGCCAATTAACAGAACTAATGACATCCTTTATTTATATATTTAAACATTTTATATAAATATACCCACTTATTATTTAGACAAAATTACTCTTTTTATCCTCAAAATGCTTTTTTAAAATAACTGATTAGTTCGTCTCTCTCTCCTTATCGTTCTCTCTCCACGAAGTTGCTTCCTTCTTCTTCTCCTTTTTATTCACAATTTTCATTCATTATTCTTACCCTTTTTCTTTCTTCCATTGTCATTCCTTCTTCTTTATCTTTTTATGCTTCCTTCCTTTTTTCAATTGTATGAAACAGATTTTCCTAATCTGATTTTCTCATAATTTTTCATCAAATCCACATCCCAATCATGGTACGACGCCTGGTACACCTATCCGAATCTAGATCTAGACTTGCGTCGGTTCTTCAATCCCTGCAAGAATGTCGCCGGTACGGCGGACACATTCGCAAAGTACTCACGGCGGACGATACAGAAGTACGAAGCCATCGGCTGGAAGATCGAGATCTTGAGTTTGTGGATGGGCTGCTCGCAAGCGGCCGGCCGAGATGGGTGCCACCATTCTTCATCGGGAAGTCACAGTTCTAGGGGCGCCACCGTTGATTGTTATGCAGTATAAGTTATTTTCATGTTGCTTTTATGTTGTTATGTTATTGTTTTGATGTTATTGGAAATTCTACCTCTGTGCCTTTGTCTATTTTTATAACTGTTATGTAGGATTTGTGATTCAGCCTCTTTGACTAAGATGGGAAATTGTCTCCGTTGTATTGAATTAAATGCCTCTTCAACCTTTTATCTATGAGTCTGTTTGTAGTAAATATTTTTTATCTTTACTGGCCGGCTTGAACTATGGTTTTTTGTTTCGTGGGCAAAGTGAATTTAGACCTTTGAAGCTAGGGAAGATATTCTGGGTTTTGATTTTTATTTACCTATTTATAGTTCCGAGTTCTGAGTCATCATTTTTCACCTTGAATTGGTCAAAATATGCGGAATTTCTTTTTTGGACTTCTTTTAATGTATCTATGGTTTGTTGCTTGCTTGATATTGGTATATTTGTGGTTTCATTTGGTAGATAATAAAACCTTCGTTATGTTGTTTTTCTAGTTAATTTAATTTATATATGTATATGCCCAATTGTGTAACTCTTCGTTTTTTGTTCTTGTTGTTATTTTTATTCTTACTCAATCATGTTTGAAAAAGAAGAAGAAGAAGAAGAAGAAGAAGAAGAACAAAGAAACGAGAAAATAGATGAAAGAGAGAGAAGAGAGATTGAAAAGAAGAAGAAGAAAAGTGAAAATAGAAGAAAGAGATAAGGAAGATAGAGATAAATGTTTGTAACTTCTCAATATATCAGTTAATAATTATCTTTTATTGTTTTGGAATGAATTCAAGCAATTTGGGAATTCTCCCAACTCCGTATTTTTATGGAAATAGTTTTTAATAGTGTCTTAGTTATGTCTTTTAACCCAATTAACATGGATTGTCTTTGAACTGCCACAAGAAAATTTAATTTTGGGCCTTTGAAGATTTGGAAAAGAGGAGTTATTGGATGCACTACCTAAATTTTCAACGTATGAGTCTCGGGGATGAGACTCTTTCGAGAAGGGAGTATTGTCATGTACCGAAAGGGATTAGATTAATATTTTATTTAGTGATTTTATATTAATTTATGTTATGATAGGTAATGGGCTTGGACTTTGGTTTTTAATTAGTAGGTTAATATTGTGGGCTTTTGTAAAGAAATTCTATAAGTAAGTGTAATGTGGGAAAAAGGAAGGGAACAAGAAGTATTATCATTATCTATTTTCTCTCTCAATTTCTCTCTCCTCTAACTCTCTCTCCCTCACGTGTTTCTTTCTTCTCTCCCTCCCCAATTTCTCCAACTCCCTCTTCTGCTAAATCCTCCGAAAATTATACAAAAATCCAGAAAAAATGAATACAAATATTACAGAAAAATCGAGTCCATAACACAAGAATCAAAGCATAAAATTCAATGGAACACTCCATTAATAACCAAAAATCTTCAGCCATTAATCAAATGGAATTCAGCAAATCTAGCGAAGACATGACTATTTTGCTCGCGAATAACTTGAAGATGAATCCAAATCAAGTGCGCGGGTAATTTCTACGGTCAGTAACAAAATCATTCCCCTAAACTCACAATGAAGGAAGAAACACGATCTGATCAAACAGGTGTTCAAAGCTCTTGAAAAGCGTCAAACAAAATTGATCAAATCCAAAGAAGGTAGAGAAACTGCGAGTTACCTGATGAGAATAAATAGCAGCAGACGGTGGGCGTGGTGAACGAGAGGTGTTGAGAAAGCTGACTGAGCAGCGGCGGAAAGCCATGCCTATGCGTGTCCACCTCATTTGCTTCGCAAGTGTCATCCTCATTCTGTCTATTGCAATGTGTTCAATTTATCCGCGATATTATTATGTTATTCAGATAATTTTTTATTAATTTTCATGTTGAGTAACAAAGTGATTGAAAGAAGTCGAATTTGATTTGCTAACTGAGTCTACGGAGTATCATATTGTTAATCTTTGAAAATTTCGAGTTTTTCGAGCTCTTCTGCTGATGTGCCATCCGCTGTCGCGATGCTCTTCCATGAAACTACTGCTTTGATTAATGACCAAAAAACATATATTAAATAAATCAAATTAAATTATTAACATAGATGCTCCCTCGTATAATCATAAGTGTTCGTTCTGAAATAGGAAATTCGTTTTTAGTATTCAAACAATTTTTGGTTTTTGAGTTTGGTTCCAATATTTTTATTTAATCAATTTTTGAGCCCAATATTTTTTCCACTGATAATTTTTTGTCCAACTCATTGAAGTTCCATAAAAGGTTAAGGGCAGTTAAAAATTTTTGTCCTTAAGTTCGGGTGCGGTCCCACTAGTTTGGGTGTGGTCCCAGCTAGGGCTGCAAACGAGCCGAGCCGAGTCGAGCATTGGCCTTATCGAGCAGGATTGACTTTTTTTTTTTGCTGCTCGAGCTCGACTCGATTAAAAATTACAATAGCTCGAGCCGACTCGAAATCAAAATGCTCGAGCTCGGCTCGAGTTCAGCTCGAAAATTTTTAAGTGGAAATGTAAAATTACCATTAAAGACCTATGCTAATATATAAAGGGGTATTTTAATAATTTATATGTATCTCGAGCCGCTTGACAAGGCAAAATATGGACTCGAGTTCGTGCTCGAGCTCGAGTCAAACTTTGACTCGAGCGCTCGTGAGCCGCTCGGTTCGTTTGCAGCCCTAATCCCAGCATTATGAATGGGGAAAGCCCATATGAAGTTCAAGTGGATTTCCATCCCAAAACTAATTGGTGAAAGGAGAAGTAACCAATTAGACTTATAAGTAGATCTATTTTCAATGTATGAACGATGTGGGACAACTCACAAGTGATATTCTAATAGTTGGGATTATACAACTCCTCTAAAAAATATGGAAAAAGAAAAAAAAATAACACAGAAAATTAAAATTAACTTGACAAAATCTAAACCTTGAAATTGATAGTCTTGTTATAGGTCATGAAAAAAATGAATAAAACAAGGGCTTACAAACCAGTTTTGAACATTCAAGGTTTTNTTCAAGTTCAAATCGATAACAAATAACTCAAAATTTAAAATTAACAAAGGGTTATTTTAGCCTAGAGGAACAAAACAAAATCTCATCTACTAATTTTAGACGACCGAATCACCAAAAATCGATAATTGAAGTTATATGTTCGCTGTCCCGCTCACTAAAAAATCAACTAACTTCGGCGGGATTATTGTCAATGGCTAGATCTTCAAACTATTCAATTAACTTTAAATGTGCAATAGTTTAAAACTCGACAATAAGCGAAAACTGCGACAAGGTTGGTTGGAGGAATTGAGTTTAAAAATCACTTTCTATTGTTTAGAAATAGGCATTCGACGACAATCTTTTTTGCGAGGATATTCACTCTTAGAGATGAAGAAAAGGATTCTTGCATACGTTCCACTCTCCAAAGTTCATCTAGAGCGAGTCTAATAAAGTTGAGTTAACAAGTGGAGCTTGTGATCGTCATATAGTTAGTCGAATACAAATAAAGATGAAGTCATTAGTATTAGTAATTCCATTGAATGTATTTATAGTGTATGTTTGAATGCACTTTTATAATGGACTTTTGACTATAAAAATCCATTTACTATATAAAAAGATGTTTGGTGTAGATAACAAAATGAACTTTTAAAAAAGTAACTCCTACAAAAAGTTCATTTCAAAGAAGTTTATATTGAAAACTTCTTGAGAAGTCACTTTTCAAAAAGTCCATCTTAAGATGGACTTCTCAATAAGTGTTTCCAAACAAGCCCCTAATCTTGAATCTAACTGTTTGGTTTTTTTTTTCTTTAGAAATGCCCATGTGAATGCAAAGCATACATAATTTATACTTCCACTATTATTATTATATTTTTTAAATGCTAGGCATGCATGCTCGTAGTAGTATTTACAGTAAAGTATATTATTTTTTCTAAATAATGCTCGTAGTAGTATTTACAATAAAGTATATTATTTTTTCTAAGAACTCATGTAGATGAGAAAAAAATATTTTTTAATTTTTAAATAAAGAATTAAAAGTCAATTGAAAAAAATACATTGATTAGTTTATGTTAAAAGAGAGCAATCTCTATATAAAATAAAACCAAAAAGTATAATAAATGATATTTTATTTTAAAATAATATACGACATTTTTAATAATTTATTCTAATTCGTTTCACTATGTGATTCATGTAATTTACATTAACTACTTAATAAAAATATTTTCATGCTCTAGCATTTTTTATACATATCATGAGTGGCATTGTTGGAGCTAAATTTAGTTGAACAATAAGTAGCATTTTTTTGCTCAATGGCATTTTTTTGCTAAATTAAGTACTTAATAACATTTTTTTGCTTAATAAAGAAAAATATTTGACCAGACTCATTTAATAAATTGACTCGAGTTTTACGAATGAAACTAAGTTGCCCTGATTTAATAGCTCGGTTGACTAAAACTCTACCTAATGTGCTTAGCAACCCATGATAATAAAAATTTCTGGCTGCATAGGATCGAGATGTTTTACATTAATACATAGGATAGGAATGGATAAATACATACAACTAAATAATGTATATATACTTTTTTCTAAAAAAAAAAAAGGAAAGAGCTTTCAGTTACTTTTTGCACCCAATGCCTAATTCATTCTTTTTTCGCCTACATAATTCACATAATCTAACTATATTGTTAACCAACAATTTGAACNCACAAAGGAAAAAATTGCTTCAGAACTCTACTGAATTTAAATGATATTTTCATAACAAAGACAAATATCAACATTTATAAAGAATTGACATCAAAAGGAATATCTGACAATCTTATCTAGAAATAGAACTACTGCAGGGCCTTTCATTTTATTCACTTAACCCCACACAAATATCACACTAAATAATTAAACTAACTATAGAGTAAATTTTAATTGCTAGAGTTGAGATTAGCCACTATTGGACTCCTCACATAATGCCTCCCATCAGACCACAAAAGCTCCCCAAAGCTATACCCACTCTTGACACCTCTGTTGGCCTTTATAGTCACCCTAAACACCTTCTCCTCCCCGATTTTCTTGAATTCCAGCACGTTGGGCTCTACAGAGACCCTGAAACCGGGTGGGTGGCGGATGCGCGTGGTGTACTTCCCGGGCTGGCCTACAGAGACCCTGAAACCGGGTGGGTGGCGGATGCGCGTGGTGTACTTCCCGGGCTGGCCCACATTTTTCACCTTCCGGGCAACAGTGACAGACCCATTCACTGTTGGGACCGTGATGGACGGGTTATTGAAGTCGAGCACACTGTAGTCAGTTGGGCATTCATAGTGAGAGGAGGTGAATTGGGCCAGCTGGTACTGGTCGTAGCCGAGCCCACAGAGGAAGTCAAGGTAGTCGTTGACCGTCAGGTCGTAGACCAGGCCAGGGTCTTGGGCGCGGTTTGGTCTGATGTGACCCGACCCATATGCAAACGGCGTGGCCTTTTCGTGGCTGGAATCCGACAATGGCTTACCGGTGTTGTCACGAGTCCTCGCTGTTCATCACAATCAGTTCAATCAAAAGGTACAAAAACTAACAGAAACATATATATGTTTATTGTAGACGACACGAATGGAAAATGTAGAGCAGAGATTTTTACCGGTTGTCATGACGGCGGATCTAATTGCGGCTGGGCTCCAATTGGGATACAATGTCTTGAGCAGGCCCACAACACCCGAAACATGGGGACAAGACATTGAGGTCCCAGACATCACCGTGAAAGCTGTCCTGCGGTGGTCAAAGTCCAACTCGGTCGGGCTTGTTGCCTCGGTATAAGAAGCTATTATGTCAACACCTGGAGCCGTAATATCGGGCCCGCAGTTCCCGGCAGATGCCACTACCGAGACTCCTCTACGCACGGCATGAAAGGAAGCAATGGCGATGCCGTCGTTGAAATAGTCATCAGTACCCCCTCCAAGGGAGACAGAGAGAACGTCAACCCCATCGTCAATGGCCACGTCGAAAGCCTTCATGATGTCAGCATCGAAGCAGTAGCCGCCCCAGCACACCTTGTAGGCGGCAGAGCGGGCCCCGGGGGGACCCGCCCTTGGAGGTACCGTTCCTGACACCAAACACGCTGGCCGAGGGGTTGAAGCTCCCGGCGGCCGTCGAGAGGGTGTGGGTCCCGTGGCCCTCCGAGTCGCGCGCGTTTTGGAATGATGAGTTGAGGGGCGTCTCCATGTAGGCTTCGAAACCCTTGTTGCAGTACCTGGTCCCAATCAGTTGTCTGCACAACACATGGATACATCAACTCCAAACCAATTATAATAATAATAAGTATTTGGATATATCAAGAAATTTATTTGGATAATAAGTATGATTTAATTAACATAAATCATGACAATCACATAATTTATTTAACAAATTACGAATCAATGTTAAGTACCTGTTGCAAAGGTGTTGCTTATGGCCTTCGAACTGACAGATTCCTTTCCAAAGGAATGGGACCAATCCCATTGTCGCTAAAGCTCTTGGATTCAGGCCAGATACCTAATTGTTAGTTAGTTAGTTAGTTAATAAGCCAGGTAAAAAGAATTAATAATAATAACTGCGATCATATTAAACCAACCATGAAAAGTAACAGCAATTACGGAAAAAAGATTGAATTTTTATTTTAATTTTACCGGTGTCAAGTGTTGCAATAATGGTATCTTCACCATATCGAGCTTTTTCCCAAATGGAATACAGACTAACAAAGCCATTCTTTTCTAGGCCAAGAAAATCCCATGAATGAGTTGTGTGCAATTTTCTACCTTTCTTCTAGTACTGATACCACCTTGGATGCTCTACATTTTATGTAACAAAAGTTAATTAAAATTATTATAAAATAAAAATATAAAAATAAACACAAACATGATGATTGAATATATTAGATGAATGTTAATATGCTTGTATATATACTAGCAATCTCAACAGCCTCTTCTTCCTCAAGAAGTGCGGCAAACCCATTTATATTCCTCTTGTATGAGTAGAACATGGAATCTCTAGCCTTTTGCTCACTGCTGCATCAATGACAACATCGAAGGGCATCGAATTCTCGAATCGCTGCAGCGTCATCGGGGTGTCAAATAGGAACACATTCTCCATAAAATTCGTTGATATCTTGTACATTATTGAAGCCGTTAAAAGGAGCTTACATACATCAGAAGTGAGCTTCTTCCCATGTTTATGAAATTGTAGATATTGATGTAGGAAGTTCTCTATCCCCGGTTCTAGATAGATGTTTGGCCAAAAACCGTACAAGAAGTCAAAATTAAGACCGCAAGCTAGCAACTTCAATTCGAAGCTTTTGTAACTCTTGCTCCTCAAAATACGCTGCAAAACAGCCCGACTCATAGGTTTTGGGGTGTTGGACGGGATAATTTAGAGTGGACATGACTGAATGTGTGAAATAGGGATACGAAAAATGATGACGAGGTGTCCAATTCTTATTCTTTTGTTTTTTATGTTCTCATAAACAGAAATATAACCAAGGGCTTGTTCAATAATGTCAGTTGACTTACCAATTCAAAATCAAAGTCCACATGATAAGGATCGGGCACAATAATGTTAGATGAAGAGGAACAAGGAACTACTAATTTGGACGATGAAGAGGAACAAGGAACTCCATGAGAATGACAACGTCTTTATCATGTAACATTGTTCCTCTTGATCGCCCAAATTAGTAGCTCCTTGTTCCTCTTCATCTAACATTATTGTGCCCGATCATGTGACTTTGATTTTGAGTTGATAAAGCCAACTGACATTATTGAACAAGCCCTTGGTTATATTCCTGTTTATGAGAACATTGAAAAACAAAAGAATAAGAAATTGACACCTCGTCATCATTTTTCGTATCTCTATTTTACCCATTCAGTCAGGGTCTACTCCAAATTATCTCGTCCAACACCCCCAAAACGTATGAGTCGGGCTGTTGTGCAGCGTATTCTGAGGAGCAAGAGTTACAAAAGCTTCGAATCAAAGCTGCTAGCTTGCGGTCTTAATTTTGACATCTTGTACAGTTTTTGACCAAACATCTATCTGGAACCGGGGATAGAGAACTTCCTACATTAATATCTACAATTTCATAAACACGAGAATAAGCTCACTTCTGATGTATGTAAGCTCCTTTTAACGGCTTCAATAATGTACAAGATCAACGGGATTTTTCTGGATAATGCGTTCCTATTTGACACCCCGATGATGCTGTCATCGCGGTTCGAGAATTTGATGCCCTTCAACACTCATCCATCACACAAAGATAGCGCCAAATTCCATGTCAACTATGTGTTCCGGCTTTGACAATGCAAAGCACCACGCCAACCTGCTTTCAGTAAAGAGGGAAACATTTGCATCAATTTTTTCTTGTCCAAACTTAAAAGGAATAAGGAAAGAGCAAATTTTGCATTGATCTCGTATCAAAGTCGGAGAATATAGTTGGAGCACATACCTTAAAATCCACAGATCAACTCATATTCCCTAAGCATACATATTTAATCTGCAAACAAACATATTGTCAACTCATCTGAAAATTACAATAAGACATTGCCAAATTGAACATAATAAGAGAAAGAGATCATAATTTACATACTTCTAAATATTCATCCATCCCATACTTTGACCCTTCACGGACAAGGCTAGATTGCTTCACGCCTCCGAATGGGGCCACCTTACATCAGAAGAAAGATGGGTCAATAAATGATGAAACCATTTGATTTTACTAATTTCTTAATATAAAAAGATTAACCTCAGTCGAGATTAGTCCTTCGTTGACTCCAACAAGCCCATACTCAAGAGCTTCACGTACACGCCAAGATCGTTGAATATTTGTTGTGAAGATGTAGGCAGCCAGACCTACAAAATAAGAGATACTTTTATGTTTCAAAACAAGTTTGTGCTTTTGAATTTCATCACAGAAGGTTAGGTTCTCCAGAATTACCTGCATTGGTGTTGTTGGCCATGCAAATAGCTTCTTCCTCGGTTTTATATTTAAGAAGAGGTGCAATCGGCCCAAATACTTCCTCCCTGGAATGGGAAAATAAAATGGGTGTTTTAACTAAAGAACCAAACAGTTGAGACTCGAGCATAAATAAGATACATGTCAATACATAGAAGCTGGAATATTTAGTTCATGAATTATGAAGCACAGAACGTAAAATGAGATGATTCCCATTTGACCTTCCACGAAACTAACAACGATCATCGCAATTACCAAGATAAAACAAAAATAACCATATGGAATTATCTATTTTTAATTGCTGCACAATTCTAGATTGACAACAGGCAAATGAACATAAATTGATCTATTTCATTTGTCTTATGCTCTACTCGGCTAAGGAACACTACTCTTCGAATTCAAGAGACCTTTAAAAAAAAGGGACTTAATTGAGATGCATTGAGCTAACTGTCATTAATGGCGGATGGCGGTGAATGACGGCAAGCCAAAATCCTGCCATAACCGCCACCCTTCACAAATTTAATATGGCGGTTTGCCGAAAATCTACCATACCATGGCCACCATTTGATTACACTAATTGAGTTCAATGCATTTTGAGTGACCTAACGTTTAAGAGAAACATGTTATCATTATTCCAGGAAATAACCAACAAGCACAAAACGGAGTCATATATAAATAACAAGCATTCTACATATGCCTTCTCCTTATGTTTGCCTGTGATAAATGAGGTTTGGGTAGAACTCATCCCCAAAAGCTAGCTCAAAGAGAGAGTGTGTTCAGCCCACAATTATACTCAGTAACTAATCAACGTGGGACAAACATAATTTCTAACACCCGCCCTCACGCATAGCATACCAATTCAAATGGGCCAGGTCCAAAACCCAAGATCCCCTCCAAACAAACAAACTTGGGTGATCGAGCTCATACTTATACACAATAACATTTCAGTAACTAATCGCTGTGGGACAAAGTATATAACTTCTAACAGCCTGTGACTAAAGGCATTTCCAAGTCTAAGATATTAACAGCTCAATGGACACTGTAATAGTTTGAAAGAACAATTTATTTCGAGACTGGACATATTCAGGAACCTGAAAAAGACAAGCGTGAATCTTTCTGTCCTAAGGCATCAACTATGCTGCGTACTGACCCCCTATAATAACATAGATGTAAAACCTGATTATCAGATTAATTATGCCTACATATTGACGTTACCTTGATATCAGCAGGTCACTGTTGACCTCAGTTATCACCGTAGGCTCATAAAATGTCATCCCAAGTCTGTGTCTCTTGCCGCCAATGCGGACTTTAGCTCCCTAGAACCAGAAAACAAATTTATCAGTCCACACAATATGAATGATCACAGATAATGGCGTGTCGTCTTCCATGTTGTTATCAGGGTACTTAATTTTTCAACAATTAAACCTAATAGTAATTCAACAATTCCACGCCCTCAGCAGCTAATAAAACATTCATCTTTGTAAGTCTCCATAGTTTATCATTTAGCTGGGAAAGGATTGGAAACTTTTTCACTTCACTTTCCACACAGGCCTTTTTTCGCTAGAATAAGCCCCCGGTCCATAAGTTAATATGTCTCAGTTAGGTATATTAACAGTTTCATACCTGTTGCCTGAAACAGGATCTACTCAAATTTGAGAGGACAAGTTTACTTGAAAAACAATGGCATTGAACTCTCATGGAGAATGGGTTGTAGCAGCTATAATATCAATAAGAAACAAACCAACCTTTGAGATGGCATCTTGGACCAACGATTCAACCTGCGAGTCAACTCTAAGATGGTCATTTACAGGTAAAGTGCAAGGTTTGTATAACATACATTGCAAATGTGAACAGAAACTAACTTTATGTACTGCAGCATCATTTATCAAAGGGCCCTGCAAGAAATGTAAAAAGATAAAAGTTGAGCAATGTCAATGCTGCTCTACCTCAGACTGAGAACAGTAACTGTGGACCTACTAACTGGATGCAATACAGTAGGACAACTTTGTCATAATTTTATAGATACGGAGGCTTCTGACTACTACCTGTACCACACCATCGCCAAAGCCATTCCCAACTTTCATGCTCTCAACCGCATTTGAAAAGGCATGTGCAAATTTCTCATATATACCTACAACAAGAAATCAAGAAATAAAAACAAGAAAGATCATTATAACTATTATGACAGGAGCAGTAAAAACATAATGAGAATTTATCAGACAAGGCAGATTAAGTGAGAAAATCAAGAGAACGAGAAGAGACAATATAAGAAAATGCATTTAGCTTCCTTAAAACCATGATTTAGCAGATAGAACTGTGTAGAAGAAATTATATCTTTCAAGCTTATTCAACTTCTTTCAATCGCTATCATACAACTACCAATATTGACAAAGGAATTTGTCATGGTACCATTTCTCACCCAAAAATATTCACATGAATATGTACAAATGCAATTAACAAAAGGTCGTTCAATTTTGCAGGACTTGTAGAATACCTTCTTGCACTAGTATTCTATTTGCGCAGACACATGTTTGGCCACTGTTATGGAATTTTGTTGCCAGCTGTCAATGCATAATATTACCGTAAGAAGGTCGCTAAACTGAGCATATAATATAAACCAATAAAACTACTCAACCAGCAACTTCACACCAGCTGAGATACTAAAGTTTCATCATAAATATCGCAAGGTGATCCAAAAACTTGAAAAGACCCATCCGTTTTTTACTGATATATGATCAAATTCACAAAATGGCTGTATTTACACCATACATATGACAAGACTACTTAATTTTTGATAACTAACAAAACACGAGGTGGTTGATTTAAATAAATAAAGTGAACTGAATCCCCCATGCTGCATGTTAAACACCATGAGATGATGTGAATGGCGTTACAACATTTGGAGACCAATTTAATCTACCATTGACGACTGACGTTCAATAAGACAAATTGTACATATTACAGATGCATGAAAAGGTTACCGTCGTGGATACAGTTCAATTGCCAGATCTGATGGCAAAACAATCGAACCAAGTATGAACTTTTAACACATTCAAATCTTTCTCCAATAAGTTTATTATGGGAGACTGCAGTAGGTTACTGAATAATTACATTAAATATATATTTACATTTGTAATGTGTCAAAGTGAGTGCATGTACTTTATCCTGAGCTAAGTGCACGAAAAAATGATAAAATGATGGTAGTTTCATGTTAAAGTAACACACCATGTCAAAGTTGTCCAATCCTAACAGTACACACAATTCCATTTAAAGCAACGTCAAGAGCTGCATCGTCGAAAACTACACAGGGCGCATTGCCACCAAGTTCTAGGGACATCTACAAATAAGAAAAACAAATCAGCTACGAACAACAGCTACAGTTTGAGGATGCAGAAATAGTCATCCCATACCATATAGTGCTCTGCCTCCTCCCCTGATTTCAATTTTTTCTTATCAGGACAAATTAATTCAAACTGATGTTCATTTTCAGAGGTACTAGCCACTCTTTACTTTCTAATTTTGACCTCAACCAGTTGTTGATTATGACCACCCTCTGCTTCCACAGATGTGTTATCACAATCCATTCCTGGTACTCTAGGTTTTCTGATGAAAGTGTTCTTCTTTTTCAGAATAACTCTTTCCCCTATAGTTGAAGGTTGAATATTAACCTCCACCAGTTGATCATCACATAAAGCAGACCCCTCACAATACTCAACCTCACTAAGCCCTGCCCTCTCACCCTCCTCCCTACCTATATTAACCTCTTTACCCTTAGAAATACAAGGGTCCCCTCTCAGATCTCCCTGTTTAGATAACCCACTACTACCCACATCTCTAACCCCATTCCCTGGAGAACCCTCCTTCTCTGGAATGATTGGAGAAGAGAATTTTTTGGGAGAACCATGGCTCTCAGGCTCACTAGCTAAGCCATCAGAATTTATCGAATAAGAATTTCTACTCTCCCCAATATTTATGTAATTAGATCTTAACCACTCTCCGTATTGACCAACATTAAGCACATTCCTCTTGAGATCTTCTTTTTTCAATTGGCAATTCCTATCGGAATGACCAATCAAACCAACCACAGTAGAAACAAAAGGTTTGGATACTCTCGTACCTGAATTCCACCCATCTATTCTCGTTGCCCACCGTCAGTTTGGTGCCTCTGGGTATTGGCTCCTTTAAATTCAGCTCCACCAAAATCTTGATAACTTGACCTTTAACACTCCCTGCTCCCGGCATGATCACATTAATAACACGGCCAATTTTCTGCCCTATCTTCGCCCCTGCTTCCATTGACATCCAATGAAGAGGAAGATTCCAAACTTGCACCCAGATGCGAATACACAACTCTTCCTCTGAAAAGGTGAGGTCCTCCGGGTTCCAATTTTTCAAAAGCAGATATTGTCCGTCGAAAGACCAGGTTTTACCGGACAAGATCTTCTCTTTATCTTCTTCAGCTTGGAATATGAACTGAAATTTGTTTTCCCCTAAATTCCGGACCTTAAATGGTTTCCTCGCCCAAATACCCGTAAGAGTTGTCATCATTCCGCTGAAGTTTATCTGCTTTTCCCCATAAAACTGCCCTATCAGACTCAATTGACATTCTCGCAGACCTTGAGCAATGTCCACCTCTGATAGTTCCACATTCTCATCCTCCTTCTTGGAGATTTTAATTTTTAGGAGAAGCTCGCTAATATCCTGTTCCATACAGTAAGACTGCCTACTAATCGACGGATCAGAAACCAAGCCAGAAGACAAAGAGCATAAGAAAAGGAAGCAGAAAGGAAAATAAAATAACAAACCCTAACGTAACCAGAAACCCCCAAACCCGAAAAGAAAAGACCCAACAAGACGAAATCGCAAGAACGGAAAGCAATAAATCGACCAACACAGCTCCTAAACAACTATCGGAATCGACACCCTAAAACTGGAACTCCAAGGAGAGACTACGGATCTCGATGAAGAGAACGGTAATCTCACTCAGGAGAACTCGATCGATCATATAGTTAGTCGAATACAAATAAAGATGAAGTCATTAGTATTAGTAATCTATACTTATATAATAAGAATTAACATTTATCCAAAATAGTAGGTCAAATTATGGTCAATGTCGGATTTGCATTAAATATTTTCCAAAAGTGGTAAGTTTTTGTCTTTTTTCACACTTCTCATTAATTATGCCATTTTCACACTTCTCATTAATTATGTCATTTTCACACATCTAATTAATTCATTAATTACGACATAATTATCATAAATCATTTCATTTGAATTTTTATCGTTAAAATGTATAGTGATCTGTTATGACCTTATCCCATTGATATTTCCATGAAGCGTCCTTATCGCGTTCTATTTTTTGGTAACCACTCTATATCAATAACCAGATATTTGGTTAATGATAGCACACGTCTTTATTTCAAGGAGCGGATATTCTTTGACCTTTAATTAATCTGAACTGATTGCCTTGACTTTTCAATTTTTAAACACTCATTTTTTAAATATTTCGGCTTAAGATTCAGATTTCATTATACAAGTCATCGGATTGTTTGAATTAAAATGAATGAAAAGAACACCAAAAACAGGCAGCCTTATTCATATAATCAATCCTAAAATATTAGTTTGTTCACAAAAAAGAGATAAATCCTAGAAATCTTAAAATATTAGTTTGTTCACCAATACTAAAATATTAGTTTGTTCATAAAAAATATTAGTTTGATTTTTAGGATTTGTCTCTTTTGAAAATATTAGTTTGTGATAATGAGGAGTTACCAAATAATCAAACTCGTACAAGGAGGTTTTTAATAATATATGATTGTTATCGAACTTTTGATTCAACAATGTTCCTATGTATTTTAATGATTTCAATTTCGATCTTAATGCACATGAGGTTATATTATTCTTCCAAATTTTACATTCCGTGCATCGCACGGGTTACGTACTAGTTCCATTGAATGTATTTATAATATTGAATCTAACTGTTTGATTTTTTTTCTTTAGAAATGCTCACGTGAATGCAAAGCGTACATCATTTATACTTCCATTATTATTATCTATTACTATATAATACGGAGAAGAAAAATTATTTGAACAATCCAAAAATAATCATTTCGTTTTCTCGCTTTAATATAGTGTTTTTCTTGCTTCTTCAATTCGTAAAATTTTTTTTTGAATTTTTTCAGCCCATGCAATTAGGTAACCAATCAGATCGAATATTTTAGCATTCAATTTGGTAAGGTGTCCCGATTTTAGCATTCAAATCCGATTTCACTTCCTTTTTTTATGCCAATCAATCCGATTTTTTTGATTGTTTCAAAATTTGTTTATATTTATATATTTATTTTATTAATATATTTGAAAGAGAATCAATAAATGTTTATCATAACTTTTATTTTAAAAATAAATTTGAATAAGCATACCTTTTACTTTATATGAAATTCAAAATTACATATTTTAATATATTAATAAACGTGTATTATTTATTTTTTCCTTATGTGATATAATAGAATTTCGGTATTAAATTTGTAAATTCAAAAGGAAAAGATTCCAAACAATTTTTTTGGGTAAATTTCATTTTATCTTGGTTTTCATTATCACATTTCTAACAAACTAATTAGTATTATATTTTTTTATCTACATTATCTAACCGATTTTTTATGATACAATCTATATATATAAAAAGGTTGTTGGAAAAATACAATAAAAAAAAATTTGACCAAATAAATATAATGTTTGACTTACTATTAATGGAAAGTTCGAAAAAACACATGTAAATCTTTAGAACAAAATCTGAATCCTATTTTTTCGGTAACAAATTTGGAGATTCTTATGGCAAAATTTGAATCCCATTTTTTTCGTATCATATTTTATTTTATTATCAAAATTTAAATCATATCTTTTTTGGTAACAAATTTAGAGATTCTTAAGCAAAAAAAATATTTATGAAAACAATTCTAAATACAAATCAATTTAACAACCGTGCAAATTGGATACAAATTTACGAAACAAATAGTTGTATAATTTCTAACCAATTATTCCAATCTTATTGAATAATTTTTTTCTTTCAAAAAAGTGTGTAAATTGGTTAAAACCACGTGCAATTTTTATTTTAAAATAAAACTGATATTTGGACGGGATGTACATTCAAAATTGTGCCCACATTTTTTGGTAACAAAAGCAGTTCATCTTTGATATTTAAAGTCACCTTATCCAATTATTTAGGAAAATTTGTGTACAACTTTTCAAAATTTAAATGCATCGATTGATTGTGACAAATAATTGGTTTATAGGTTTGATGCTCACTGAAGAACAAATCAAGAACCTTGCCCTTGCTGAGTTTGAGAATTTATTGAGACGACGTGGGTCAAGTTTTCGTGAATACTCAACTATGCCATTTCCGGATAGGGAGAACATCAATTCAAGTTCGAATCGTCTAATTTTGGATGAATTGAATTATGATCGAAAGGCCCTCGCTGTTGAACACGATATGCTTCTTAAGAAAATGACAGCCGAACAGAGGAGTGTCTACTCAAGAATTTTGTCCATTGTTGAATCCGGCCAAGGAGGGCTCTTTTTTGTATATGGTTATGGTGGAACTGGGAAGACAGACTTTATCTGCTGGTTTGAGATCCAAAGGCGACATAGTCTTATGTGTCGCATCCAGCGGAATAGCATCGGTTTTGTTGCCAGGTGGACCGAACAACGCATTCTCGATTTGCTATACCATTGAATCCCCACCAGGAATCTACTTGCAACATCAATCAGTCAAGCCCTCTAGCGGAATTGATAATTCGTGCTTCTCTAATAATATGGGATGAAGCACGATGCACAAGCATTGTTTCGAAGCTGTACAGACATCGCTGCAGGGTATTATGGGAGCAATTGATCCTTTGAACTTGAACAAACTGTTTGCTGGGAAGCCGATTATTTTTTGTGGAGATTTTCGACAAATCCTTCCTGTCATTCCAAAAGGGTAGCCGTCAGGACATAGTCAATGCTGTCATTAATGCTTTTGACATATTGAGAAGTTGTATTGTGCTTAGGCTTACGAAAAACATGCGCCTTCAGGGACTTGCTAATTCGGATGAACGTCATGAGCTTCCACGGTTTGCAGATTGGATAGCCAACATCGGAGATGGAACTATCGGGGGTCGAATGATGGATGTGCAGCTATAGACATACTCGAGGACATTTTGCTTCAGCCATCTGATGATCCTATTGCTGAGATCGTTGAAAGCACATATCCAATGCATAAAGAGGCACCCGACGATCCAAGTTATCTATATCTATATAAAGAGGTTGTTGGAAAAATACATTAATAGAAAGTTTGACCAAATAAATATAATGTTTGACTTACTATTAATGGAAAGTTCAAAAAAATACATGTGAATCTTTAGTAACAAAATCTGAATCCTATTTTTTTGATAACTAATTTGGAGATTCTTATGGCAAAAATGAATCCCATTTTTTTCGTATCATATTTTATTTTTTTACCAAAATTTAAATCATGTATTTTTTGGTAACAAATTTGGAGATTCTTATGCAAAAAATGTGTCAATTATTTATGAAAACAATTCTAAATATAAATTAACTTAAAAACCGTACAAATTGGATATAAATTTTGGAAACAAATAGTTGTATAATTCTTAACTAATTCTTTCAATCTTATTGAATAAGTTTTTCTTTAAAAAAAAAAGTGTGTAAATTGGATAAAACCACGTTCAATTTTTATTTTAGAATAAATCTGATATTTAGACGGGATGTACATTCAAAATTGTGTCCACATTTTTTGGTAACAAAAGCGGTTCATCTTTAATATTTAAAAATTAAAAAAATCTTAAAATATCCTTAAATATTTAACTTATTTGAGATCAAGATTTGTTAGGTCTTTTTAAGATTAGTTATGATTTAAAAAAAAAAACATTATACAAAATTTCACTCTAAATCTCACATTCACACTTAAGATTTCATAGTATTCCTCTAGAATTTGACCATCTTAAAAGTCTCAAATCTTACAAAATCTCAAAGTGGCACTCAAAATCATAAACGAATACATATTATTTACCTATATCGTCAATTTACAATTATTATTTGATATTATTTACCCGTGCATCGCACGGGCCACATACTAGTTTGAAGAATATGGCTATATTAGCGCCGACGTTGGATGTGGTCGAGTCTATCAATGAGTACATGACATCATTGAATTTGTTGGATGGTCGTATGTACTTGAGCTCTGACAGTACATGCAAATCGGATTATAATAATTATTTTTTGTCTTATCTACATACGCCTGAGGTTTTGAATAGTATCAAGTGTTCCGGAATACCGAACCATGAGTTGTATTTGAAGATTGGAACTCCAGTCATGTTGTTGCGAAACATGGATCATTCTATGGGTTTTTATAATGAGACACAATTGTTATGACAAAGCTATCCACTCACGTTCTTGAGTGTAAGATACTCACAGGAGATCATGCTGGTGATAAGGTGTTGATTCTAGGAATGGCCATAACTCCTTCTGATGTTAGAATTCCTTTCAAGTTTCAGCGGCGACAGTTTCCCATTATGGTTTCTTACGCCATGACTATAAACAAGAGTCAGGGACAATCTTTATCTCATGTTGGCTTATTTCTTAAGAAACCAGTATTCAATCATTGTCAATTATATGTTGCTATCTCCCGTGTCACTAACCGAAAAGGTTTAAAAATCTTAATTTGTGGCGAAGATGACGTGCCAAATAATCAAACCAATAATGTTGTATATAGGAAGTGTTCAATAATATATGATCTTTTCAGTTTAATTATATGTTTATATGTCTATTCTTATGATCATGATCATTGCATTATTACACAATTTATATTCAAAATTGTCTTTTAAAAAGCGTATAGATAATAATATCCCCGTGCATCGCACGGGTGATTACTAGTTACACTAATACAAACAGACTTCATAATATTAACTCAAATTTTAGAAAACTTATGATATACAAAGTTATTAGTTCTATTTACAATATTTTCACTATTGTCGCAACAAAGTATTTTCAAACATCTTCTGCTCTTAACTCTGGATACTGCAACATAAAGCTGACCATGACTGAAAACAGATTTAGGTGGATACAACCCAACGTCTGATTCTTTTTAATGATCATCGCAAAGCAAACTAAAAGGAAAAATTGTCTTCTTTGAAATTTGAATGACAATCTATCCACTCAATAACGTTAAGTTTGCAAAAAGAGATGTTTAAGGAAAAGACATCATAAACAACATATACAAATCAAATTTGAACTAATTAATAGCCCAATCTCATCCCAAATGACGCCTTAGCATGGCGGGCAATCATATCTTCAAGTAAACTCAAAGATATACTACTCTACGTTATAGTTATGATTAAAATCAACAAACAGTCTTATCTCTCCACAAATGAAAGAGAATATGTATTGCCTACACCAAACGAAATCCATTATTTAGCGCAAACCAATAACAAAAACTCATTTTTCTAAATCTGCAATTGATGATAACCCTTAACTACAATTATATTTTCAATTCAATATATCTCACTTCTTTTCAATTTCTCTAGGAAATAATTTGTTGTTCTCATTACAAAGAAATCTCTCGTGATCGACAATCCACTATCAATTGAAAATGAAAGATAAAATTTAATAATTTGTGTCTTAGTGATGATATGATTAATATAGTCTCTAAGGTTATCACATTCTAAATACAAATGGGATTTTATGTAGACTTGTAAAGCAGCTGTGTTCTTTTTTTTTAACAGCAATGATGAATATATATAAACAAAACTCAGAATACAAATAGAGCCCGCATGAGAGAAAGAGACAAATCCTTGCTTGCAAACAGGCTTACAGGCAAGTGGAATAGGGGAAACAATCCCACAGCAAAAGCTAAACAAAAACACCAGAAAAAAGAGACCAGATACAAAACTTACAGCACCACCTAAAATAAGAAAAACCAAAGCTAGAAACCAAAGCAACACAGTAACACAAGGATTAAAGGCATCTAACAAAACCAAAGCAGTTGTGTTAAGAAATTCTAAATTTGTGTCTTGCTTTAGAATAATTGGGTCTAATGTAGTATAGCAGCAACCTGGAAATTCTAAACNATCAAGAATATTGAAGGTTTATGCTCTAAGACACCACCCGAAATTCACCATCAAAAATGAAAAAGAAACAGAAACAGTGCCAAATATTAAAAAGGATAGAGAAACAAGTTACGAAACAGTGCCAAATATTAGTAAAAGTGTTATGAAATTACCTAAGTTAGTCTTTTAATATATATGGAATGTCCGAACCTAATATTATTGATTTAGTATAATAATATTTTTTATTCGAACCAAGTTACGAAACATGTTTTTTCGCCAAATAAGATTCCAAAGCACCAGAAGCAGCCACGTAGGCTCAGCATATTCTAGAATTATATATAGAGAGGATTTTTTAAATGCTAGGCATGCATACTCGTAGTAGTATTTACAATAAAGTATATCATTTTTTCTAAATAATGCTCGTAGTAGTATTTACAATAAAGTATATTATTTTTTCTAAATAGAAGTCACGTAGATGAGAAAAAAATATTTTTTACTTTTTAAATAAAAAATTAAAAATCAATTGAAAAAAATACATTGATGAGTTTATGTTAAAAGAGAGCAATCTCTATATAAAATAAGACCAAAAAGTATAATAAATGATATTATATTTTATAAAATAATATACAACATTTTTAATAATTTATTCTCATTCGTCTCACTATGTGACTCATGTAATTTACATTAACTACTTAATAAAAATATTAAAATATTTTCATGCTCTAGTATTTTGTATACATATCATTAGTGGCATTGTTTGAGCTAAATTGAGTTGAACAATAAATAGCATTTTTTTGCTCAATGACATTTTTTTGCTAAAGTAAGTACTTAATAGCATTTTTTTGCTTAATAAAGAATAATATTTGACTAGACTCATTTAATAAATTGACTCGAGTTTTACGAATGAAACTGAGTTGCCCTGATTTAATAGCTCGGTTGACTAAAACTCTACCTAATGTGCTTAGCAACCCATGATAATAAAAATTTCTGGCTGCATAGGATCGAGATGTTTTACATTAATACATAGGAATGGATAATTACATACAACTAAATAATGTATATATACTTTTTTCTAAAAAAAAAAAAGGAAAGAGCTTTCAGTTACTTTTTGCACCCAATGCCTAATTCATTCTTTTTTCGCCTACATAATTCACATAATCTAACTATATTGTTAACCAACAATTTGAACAANAAGGAAAAAATTGCTTCAGAACTCTACTGAATTTAAATGATATTTTCATAACAAAGGCAAATATCAAACATATATAAAGAATTGACATCAAAAGGAATACCTGACAATCTCATCTAGAAATAGAACTACTGCAGGGCTTTTCATTTTATTCACTTAACCCCACACAAATATCACACTAATTAATTAAACTAACTATTGAGTAAATTTTAATTGCTAGAGTTGAGATTAGCCACTATTGGACTCCTCACATAATGCCTCCCATCAGACCACAAAAGCTCCCCGAAGCTATACCCACTCTTGACACCTCTGTTGGCCTTTATAGTCACCCTAAACTCCTTCTCCTCCCCGATTTTCTTGAATTCCAGCACCTTGGGCTCTACAGAGACCCTGAAACCGGGTGGGTGGCGGATGCGCGTGGTGTACTTCCCGGGCTGGCCCACATTCTTCACCTTCCGGGCAACAGTGACAGACCCATTCACCGTTGGGACCGTGATGGACGGGTTATTGAAGTCAAGCACACTGTAGTCAGTTGGGCATTCATAGTGAGAGGAGGTGAACTGGGCCAGCTGGTACTGGTCGTAGCCGAGCCCACAGAGGAAGTCAAGGTAGTCGTTGACCGTCAGGTCGTAGACCAGGCCAGGGTCTTGGGCGCGGTTTGGTCTGATGTGACCCGACCCATATGCAAACGGCGTGGCCTTTTCGTGGCTAGAATCCGACAATGGCTTACCGGTGTTGTCACGAGTCCTCGCTGTTCATCACAATCAATTCAATCAATAGGTACAAAAACTAACAGAAACATGTATGTTTATTGTAGACGACACGAATGGAAAATGCAGAGCAGAGATTTTTACCAGTTGTCATGATGGCAGATCTAATTGCGGCTGGGCTCCAATTGGGATACAATGTCTTGAGTAGACCCACAATACCAGAAACATGTGGACAAGACATTGAGGTCCCAGACATCACCGTGAAAGCTGTCCTGCGGTGGTCAAAGTCCAACTCTGTCGGGCTTGTTGCCTCGGTATAAGAAGCTATTATGTCAACACCTGGAGCCGTAATATCGGGCTGGATAAAAGCAAAAAATTAGGGCTAGAGTATTTATGAATTATTTTTNAGAACACAATGATAAACCTTGAGGATTTCCGGGGTAACGGGGTTGGGTCCCCTGGACGAGAAGGCGCCCATAAAAGGTGCTGGTTTTGTATTCAGCAGCGTCTTTGGAGTCGTAATAAGACCTTGGGGATAACTGAAAGCACAAATTTTGTCGATGTAAGTATATATAACGAAAGTATATGAAAAACTGATGATGGCTGGCAACTCATGAATCACATACTTGGTAGTAATTAAATAGGCAAAGAGAGTACGGCCATCTTCATAACCGATGTGCGTTGTCGGTAGAAAATGTGGGTCAGATATAATCTCATCTCCGGTAGACTCGTCGTTGCAGAGAACCATCCCGACAGCACCCGCACGTGCCGCCACCACACCCTTTTCAACTCGTGCGTTATCTCCTCTTAGGCAAACAACTATTTTGCCCCTCGCCTTTTTCATGTCCAACGTATCCGGTTTGCAGAGGTGACTGATACCGGTTTCGAAATACAAATAATAATGTTAGCGTACATGCCAATTCAAAGAAAAATCGAGAGGGAAAAAAGAATCCTTACGCATCTGCTTCGGTTGCATTGGCAGCTTTAGCATCGGCCGCGCTAATAAGAGGGTAGAATTTGTTCTCCGGCAACGGTCTCGTAATGCTTTTACCCTATTAGTAGTATTACAGGTGCAATTTAACACATCATCAAATGATGAACACACTAGGTTAGGTTGTTCAATAATCAATATTATCAACATGGAATTTTGCTGAATCACCTTAAGCACTCGGCCATTCCTCAATTTGAGGCCGGCATTAAACTCTCGATCGAGTGTGCTTGCCCCGACAGTTATGATCCACGGGGCCACATTCGACACAGTCCCGGGGGAGGGCCCGCTGTTCCCGGCAGATGCCACTACTGAGACTCCTCTCCGCACGGCATGAAAGGCAGCAATGGCGATGCCGTCGTTGAAATAGTCAGCAGAAGGCCCTCCGAGGGAGACTGACAGCACATCCACCCCATCGTCAATGGCCACGTCGAAAGCCTTCATGATGTCAGTATCGAAGCAGCCGGCCCAGCACACCTTGTAGGCGGCAGCGCGGGCCCCGGGGGAACCGCCCTTGGAGGTACCGTTCCCAACACCAAACACGCTGGCCGAGGGGACGAAGCTCCCAGCAGCCGTCGAGAGGGTATGGGTCCCGTGGCCCTCCGAGTCGCGCGCGTTTTGGAATGATGAGTTGAGGGGCGTCCCCACGAAGGCTTCGTACCCCTTGTTGAAGTACCTGGCCCCAATCAGTTTTCTGCACAACACATGGATACATCAACTTCAAATCAATTAATAATAATAATAATAATAATAATAATAATAATAATAATAATATCAAGAAATTTCGTAACAGAATAGATAGATATAATTTAATTATCATGATCACATAATTTATGTAACAGATGAATCGATGATAAGTACCTATTGCAAAGGTGTTGCTTATGGCCTTCGAACTGACAGATTCCTTTCCACTTGGAAGGAATGGGACCAATCCCATCGTCCCTAAAGCTCTTGGATTCAGGCCAGATACCTAATTGTTAGTTAGTTAACAAGCCAGGTAAAAAAAAAAATTTAATTGCGATCATAATAAACCAACCATGAAAAGTAACAGCAATTATGGAAAAAAGATTGAATTTTTATTTTATTTGATTTTAATTTTAATTTTACCGGTGTCAAGTGTTGCAATAATGGTATCTTCACCATATCGAGCTTTCTCCCAAATGGAATACGGACTAACAACCCCATCCTTTTCCAGTCCAAGAAAATCCCATGAATGAGTTGTGTGCAGTTTTCTACCTTTGTCCTCTAGTACTGATATCACCTTTGGATGCTCTACATTTATGTAACAAAAGTTAATTAAAATCATTACAAAATAAAAATATAAACATAAACACAAACATGATGATTAAATACATTATATGAATATTAATTTGCTTGTACATACTAGCAATCTCAGCCGCCTCTTCTTCCTCAAGAAGTGCAGCAAAACCATTTATATTCCTCTTGTATGAGTAGAACATGGAATCTCTAGCCTTTTGCTCACTGCATGCAACAAAATCAAACGAAGCACATTAAACTATTATACCAACATGTAATTTTCGATAATTTTTTCATGATTTTTAATTTTATTTTTTCAAAAGAAAATGCAATACCTTCCCAAGAATGAACTGAGCAACTCCGTGTGTGAATCTTCCACATGCTGGTAATCAGCAGTAGTGACATCTGGACCATGATTATGTGCCCCCAAGTAGACAATATACGACTGATCACATAATAAATAAGAAAATTAATAAATATTTTTGTAAGAAAGAAATTGTATCTATAATTAATTAAGGACGGGAACAATATATACGACTGATTATGTGCACCTTTTTAATGGCCAAAGTTGGTTTCTGTAATGCAGCAAAAAGGATCAAAAGTGCAAAACATGTTGAAAACCTGCCAAAAATCATGTTTGCTTTTACTGCAAATTGAAAAGCAAAAAAAGTTGTGCCAGTGGTATACTATGTATTTTCTATATGCACGAATAGAAAAGGTAATATATATATTTATATATATATATATNAGATAGATGATTAAGAAGAGAGTCCAACTAAGGGTAAGTTATTCATGATTAAGAGTTCAACTAATGGTAAATTATTCCAGATATAGGACTCCTTAACAAATCACGATATCATTCCAGATATAAGACTCTTTAACAAATCACGATTGGAATGGAATAGAGTTGTCCTCTAGTACATACACTTACCATATATAGGACTCAAATCACGATATTATTCCATATAGGACTCCTTAACAAATCACGATTGGAATGGAATAGAGTTGTCATGTAGTATTGATCATTTGTCAGATTTTATTTTTGCACAATTACATAATTAACTTTTAGCTGTAAACAAATAACAAAATTTATATTTCTTATAATATCAACATATATAATTGTTTAGAAAATGAGAGGAAAAATTTCATTTTTAGTTACAGTTGTGATGGCCCTCCTTCTGGTGGTCGGCGGAGATCATCTCGCCGTGGGCGCGACGGTAGGTGGTTGTGACTGACCGGCGACCTCAGCCTGTGACGAAGTGGCGACGGCTCTCTTTCTGGTGGCCGGAACTTCTTGGTGCTAGCGCGGTGGCGGTCGTGGCGGAACGGCGGCCTGAGGCTAACGCACAGCGGCGTCGGTTCTTCCCCTCCTCGACGGCGACGGGCGTATCTCGGTGGCGTCGTCTCGGTCGGCCAATTCCCGCGGCCTCGTCTCCGGCCGGGGTAAAGCGGCTAAATAGGCCTCCGAATTTTCCAATTCTCTGCTCAATACATCACCCATTTCGGATTTTGGCTTGGATTTGTGAAGGCGAAGGTCGATTCTCTCGAGATTTTGAGCTCACAAGAAAACCCTAGCTTTTTTTTTCTTCTTCAGTTCAGGTTCTGATGCGCGATTTGGGAAAGTCGTCTCTCCTTTAGCCGATTTTTTTTTTCGAATTTTTTGATTTGTATAATTTATACCAAAAAAAAAATAAAAAAAAATATATATATTTTTATTAATGAAAAAATATGAATTTTAATATTATACCTATTATTTACGTATATTTTTAAATATATGATAGAAGTTTACCAAAATAATTATTCTATGGAATCATATTGTATTAAAATTGAATTTATGAATAAAATTTTTAAATGGCATTTATCTTGAAATGAATATAATGTAATTTATTTTCAGTTATGGGCTCCGTACAGATTGTGTACTAATTTTAAATAGACATATTTTATTTGATTTCAAAATTTAAATTTCATATAATATTTTAAATAAATTAATATAGGTAAATTGTATTACATATTTATTCTATATTTTTTTATTAATAAATACTATTTAACGAGGATTTTTAATTTATAAGTATTAATAAATATTTATTACCGTGTTAAATCTAATATACAATAATCAAGATTGTAATAGTTATTTTTGTAAACATGTTAAAGTCTACCCAAACAAAATTCTGAAAATTATAAATGTTGTTTTACCCGATAAAATATTGTAGGATACAATTAAATATGATTTTAGCTTAGTGCTTTTTTATGATTTGATTTTATCAAAACACACATTCCTATAAAATCACCTACAAATAGTATGTTTATTAACAAATAAGGCCGATAATGTGTCAAGACAATTTAATATTTCACATATTTATTCATCTTGTTTTTTATTCTAACATTTTTTTGTTTATAATTTATTCATATTTTTTATTTTCTTTTGTAGGCTATGGACACTTGGTGTGCGCAACTATTTTTTATATTTTTTATTTTCTTTTGTAAGTTTTTTTGATATTGTAAATAATGCGGTTGATTTGTATGTACAATTATTAAATATGAAAAAGTTTTTTGCATAATCGTAAACTATGTCTCCGATTTAGATATGCGCAAAAATTTGAGAAAGTATTTCACATCATCATAAATTTAGTTATGCGTTGGTATATACGACAAAAGTCTCAATTCATTTGAATGTACAATTATAATAACAATTGTGAATCATGAATTGAAAAAGAAGTTATTTAATGGGATGAAAAAAAATATATAATTATATAATTGTATGAAAACGTGTCCGCCCATAAAAATGGCAATGGGGTTCAAAAGGAATATCTGCCTAAAAACTACTAAACTAGGTATCAATATTGCGGGGCCTTCAACTTATTCACTTAACCCCCCATAAAATTTATCACATTAGCCAAAATATGAATTAATTAGGTAGCTATAGTTCTGGCCGCTATTGGACTCCTCACATAATGCCTACCATCAGACCACAAAAGCTCCCCAAAGCTATACGGCCTCGCGACACCCAAAATAGCCGCAAAATCATCCCTCTCGACATTGACACCTGATCTCTTGGCCTTTATAGTCACCCTAAACACCTTCTCTTCCCCAATTTTCTCGAATTTCAGCACTTTAGGCTCCACCGAGACCCTGAAACCAGGGGGATGGCGAATTCGTGAGGTGTACTTCCCGGGCCGGCCAACATTCTTCACCTTCCGGGTCACGGTGACTGACCCGTTGATATTTCGGACCGTAATTGCCGGGTTGTTGAAGTCAAGGATGCTGTAATCCTCCGGGCACTGGTAGTCAGATGTGGCGAAATGTGCCAGCTTGCTCCCGTTGTAGCCGATCCCACATAGGAAGTCAATGTAGTCGTTGACCGTCAGGTCATAGACCAGGCCAGGGTCCTGGGCCCGGTTTGGCCTTATGTGGCCCGACCCGTACGAGAAGGGGTTGTCCTTTGAGTGGGTATAGTTGGATATCGGGTTACCCGTGTTGTCACGGATCCTCGCTGTTGATGAAAATGAATTCAATCAAAAGTTAATTGACAGAAACAAAGTTGTTCGTAGATATATATAACACGAAAAGTTAAGATGCAGAGTGTTTTTTACCGGTTGTCATGATGGCGGATCTAATTGCAGCTGGGCTCCAATCGGGATACAATGTCTTGAGCAGGCCCACAACACCCGCAACATGGGGACAAGCCATGGAAGTCCCAGACATCACGGCGAAAGGTGTCGTGCGGTGGTCAAAGTCCAATGCCGTCGGGCTTATTCCCTCGGTAAAAGCAGCTAGGATGTTGACACCTGGAGCCGTAATATCGGGCTGGAGAAAAGCAAAGAATTAGAACAGAGTGTCTTATGAATTTTTATTTGAAATGAAAAAAAAAAAAATAGACACTGAAAAAAATTACCTTAAGGATTTCCGGGGTGACAGTATTCGGTCCCTTAGAAGAGAAGGCGGCCATAACAGGAGCCGGTTTTGTCTTCAGCACCGCAGCTGGAGTCCTAATAAGAGCTTCTGGATTCCTGAAAGCACAAAGTTTTTGTCCATATAAGTATTTTTTATAAGGAAAATGCATGAATAAGTAGTGATGATGGCTACTCAAATCAAAATCTCGTACTTGTTGTCATTAATATATGCAAAGAGAGTACGGCCCTCCTCGTAACCGATTTGCGTGGCTGGTAGAAAATGTGGTTGAGCCGTGATCGTAGATCCCCAATTCTCGTCGTTGCCGAGAATCATCCCAACAGCTCCCGCTCGTGCTGCCACCATTCCCTTTTCAATGCTTACGTTTTCCCCCATTAGGCAAACTACTATTTTGCCCCTCGCCTTTTTCGGGTCCAACGTACCCGGCAGACAGTGTAAACTGAACCACATTTCGGATCACCATTTTATATATGCGCGTCAGTTCAAAATAACATAAAAATTGGAAAAAAAAAAATAAGAATTACGTACGCATCTGGTTCGGTTGCATTGGCAGCTTTAGCATTGGCCGCGCTAATAAGCGGGTAGAATTTGTTCTCCGGCAACGGTCTCGTAAAGCTTGTACCCTACATGATCAAATATTGGCTTGGCTTCAATCTTAATCTTATCTAACATGTATGTATATTGATTGATGATGTTACAATTAAATTACCGTAAACACCCTTCCGTCCCTCAACTCGACATCTGCGTGAAACTCGCGGTCGAGCGTGCTTGCCCCGACAGTTATGATCCAAGGGGCCACGTTCGAGACGGAGCCATCCATGGGCCCGAGGTTCCCGGCAGAGGCCACCACGACGACCCCTCTCCGCACGGCGTGGAAGGCGGCAATGGCCATAGCGTCATTGTAATAGCTGAGGGGCATCCCGCCGAGGGAGGCCGAGATAACGTCCACCCCATCGTCGATGGCCACGTCGAAAGCCTTCATGATGTCGGCGTCAAAGCAGCTGGCGCCCTCCGAGGTAGGCCAGCACGCCTTGTAGGCGGCAGCGCGGGCCCGGGGGGACCCGCCCTTGGCGGTACCGTTCCCGACGCCAAACACGCTGGCCGACGGGACGAAGCTCCCCGCGGCAGTCGAGAGGGTGTGGGTCCCGTGGCCCTCCGAGTCGCGCGCGTCTTGGAATGATGAGTTGAGGGGCGTCCCCACCAAGGCTTCGTACCCCTTGTTGAAGTACTTGGCCCCAATCAGTTTTCTGTGTGCACAACACATTATAATGGTGATTCAAGGTTCTACTCGAGAAGAAACACTAGCTAGCAAGCATTCTTTTATTGGTAAAAGTAGTACATTATAATTGTATTAAATTCATGTTAGGCAAATACTATCCAACATACACGAACGAGCACGTATTCGTTGGAGCCTAATTTTCTATTGGAACTCGGCTCAATTAACAAACAGACAAGCTTTGTCGTGACATAAATGATCTCGAACAAGCTTTTATTCACAAACATTCAATATNGTGTCATTGGAACGATAGTTTGAAAGTGTTAGAGCGTCGAAACACTTACAACGAAATTCGTTTTTAAAATAACAATACATGTTCTTTTTTTTTTTTTTTTTTGGAAAAAAAAAACATTCATATAACTTATACGAAATTAGCATAAAAAAAGAAATTAACTTTATAAATAAACAAAATTATGAATAGATAGCACCGCACGTACCTATTGCAAAGATGTTGCTTATGGCCTTCAAACTGACAGGTACCTTTCCACTTGGAAGGAATGGGACCAATCCCATCGTCACTAAAGCTCTTTGATTCAGGCCAAACACCTAATTATTAGTTATTTAATGTAAAGAACACAATTGATTAAGTACAAACATAATAAACCATGAAAAGTAAGTTGTTAAAAAAAAAAAAGATTGATTATTTAATTTCCATATCTTTAATTTACCCGAATCAATTGTTGCAATGATGGTATCTTCACCATATCGAGCTTTCTCCCAAAGGGAAGACGGACTAACAAATCCATCCTTTTCCAGTCCAAGAAAATCCCATGAATGAGTTGTGTGCAGCTTTCTATCATGGTTTTCTAGTACTGATACCACATTTGGATGCTCTACATTTATGTAACAAAAATCAATAAAAGTCATTGTAACGCAAAAATAAAATAAAATAAGCGTATATATATAAAACATGACATATGAATAAATGAATATTAATTTGGCGGTATATACTTGCAATCTCAGCAGCCTCTTCTTCTTCTAGAAGTGCAGCAAAGCCATTTATATGCCGCTTGTATGAGTAAAACATGGAATCTCTAGCCTTTTGCTCACTGCATGCATGGACGTATTTGGATACAAAATCAAAATAAGCACATAAAATATTAAAATTAAAAAAAAAAAATAATAATAATTGCAATACCTTCCCAAGAATGAAGTGAGCAACTCCGTGTGTGAATCTTCCACACGCTGGTAATCAGCAGTAGTCACATCTGGACCATGATTATGTGCTCCCAAGTAGACAATATACGACTGATCACATAATAAATAAGAAAATTAACAAATATTTCTTTAAGAAAAAAATTGTATCTAGAATTAATCAGGGAAGGGAACAATATATGTGCACCTTTTTAATGGCAAAAGTTGGTTTATGCAACGCAGCAAAAAGGATCAGAAGTGCAAAAAGTGTTGAAAACCTGCCAAAAATCATGTTTGCTTTTTACTGCAAATTGAGCAGAAATAAAAGTTGTGCGTATATGCACGAATAGAAAAGGTAATATATATGGTGAATAAGAAGAGAGTCCAATTAATAATAAGTTTTCATGATTAAGAGTTCAAGTAATGGTAAGTTATTCCAGATATAGGACTCCTTAATAATCACGACTGGAATGTAATAGAGTTGTTATCAAGCACATAAACTTACGGGACGTATGATACTCATACACTTTTGTCAGTTCTTTACATACACTTTTGTACAAATTAAACAATTAACTTTTAGTTGTAAATATATAAATAACAAAATTATATTTCTTTAATATAATCACACATAGTTATATTGATAATTAATAAGAATATATATTTGTTCTTAAATTTTAGGTAGAATTTAAAATTGGTCCTCTATATTGTCTATTTTTAAATTTTGGTCCATAATATTGACCCTCGTCAATGTTAGTTCTATAAATTGACATTTTCTTTTTCTCTCAATTTTGATCTCTTTTTCTTAAAATTGGTCTTCTATATTGTCCCATTTTACAAAAAAGGACTAAAATTGAGAAAAATTAATGACAAAAAATGAAAAAATAGACAACATGATCAGTTTTGAAATTATGCTTATTTTTTTTAAAAAAATATTTTATATTTTTTGAATCGTTTTACATCATACCCACATTCCATCCATATCACTGCTTCGTAGGTAGTGCTGTTAAATAAACGAGCCTGGATCGACTCGGCTCTGCTCGAGCTCGGTTCGTTAAGGCTCGAGTTCGAGGCCTTAACGAGCCGAGCTCAAGTTCATTTAAAGTTCGATTGGCTACGAGCTCGGCTCGATAAGGCTCGAAAATAGAATTTTTAGATAATTTTTTATAGTGCGGCTCGTTAAAGCTCGAGATCGGCTCGTTAAGGATCGAGCTCGAGGCCTTAATGAGCCGAGCTCGAGCTCGATTTTAGGCTCGTTTATTTAACGAGCCTAGCTAGCTCGAGGCCTTAATAAGCCGAGCTCGAGCTCAATTTTAGGCTCATTTATTTAACGAGTCGAGCTAGCTCGAGGCCTTAATGAGCCGAGCTCGAGCACGAGCACCCTAAGCTCGAGTTCGACTTGACTCGTTTACAGCCCTATTCATAGGTTTCATCTAATCAAAATACAAGTCCTTCAGGTCAATTAACATAAAATAGGTTATGAGAGAAAAATAAAATATTAAAATAACTCAATTAAATGGGTGGTATTATTTTTAACCAAAAATTAAAAATAGAATCGAATCGAGATGAGAAATAAATTAAACTGTATCGACTAATTTACAGTGATAATCTGATTATCAGTCACCAAAATTCATTCGATTCGTTGTCGATACACGGCCCATGATATTTAATACTAAGTGAATTATGTTCGACCAATACATCTCAGGCTAAAAAGTTCTTGAATTCGTATGACGACTAATAGGTCTCCCAGGCTCGGCGGCTAACATCTCCGATGTCTCAGGCTCGGTTGGGGGTTGCTCGCCCAAATTTACAAAATCCAATTTTATTATATTATTTTAAGAAAATCAAACGAGTTAACGGTTAACGATTGGAACTGATGCATTGGACTGTAGGTCAAGGCCCATAAATGGCCCGACAATCAGGCCCAAATTACTAAAATTTCAGCACGTAGTCCCCCACGCGTCAGCTCACCAACCAAGTCCTATTAAATTGTAATAGAAATGTTGATTGATCTTCCTAGCAAAAGAAAAACCAACAATGGAATTCCAATCAAAAACCTCAGCGGCCACCGCCGGCGGAAACCTCCGCCGACCCTTGGAAGAAGAATCCCAATTCACTATCCCAAACATCAAACTCCAGACCGTACCCCACCTCTCGGACTACATCCCGGGCCTCCGGGCCAACCCGAACCCGCTCGACAGCAACCCGTTCTTCCACCCGGCGTCCGGCTTCTACGTTGGCCCCTCAGACGTCATCCTCCGACACATCCTCCACGACCTCTCCGGCGGGCCGGGGACCACCCACCTGGCGTACCACCGGGCCGGGCCAAGGAAGATGGTCTTGTTCGGGCCGGGCAGCGTCAGGGCTGCCCTAGTGACGTGCGGGGGCCTCTGCCCCGGGATGAATACGGTGATCCGGGAGCTGGTGGTGGGGCTGTGGGAATTGTACGGCGTGCGGGAGATATTTGGTATCCGGGCCGGGTACAGAGGGTTCTACTCTCACGAGCCCGTCCAGCTGAACCCGAAGATGGTCCACGGGTGGCACAAGATGGGTGGGACTGCCCTCGAGACCTCCAGGGGCGGGTTTGACCTCCACAAGATTGTTGACTCCATTCAAGATCGCGGCTTCAACCAGGTTGATGATTTCTCTATTTTGTTTTTACAATATATATTATGTCATGTTTTCCTTAGTGTTTCCTTTTGTTTTGGCTTAATTTGTAGCTCTAACAATGGTTCGAAACACTAGCAGCAGAATTTTGATGCTACGAATGTTAGGAATCTTTGATCTATAATTCTACCCAAATTTGTGCAAGTTTTGTCTGTATTTGCCAGAAAATTCATAGTTCTGTTGTTTTTGTTAGGTGAAAATTTCATAGTTCCTATATAGCTATAACAATTCTACTCCTCTAATGTTATCTTT